CTACGACGAAGTTACGAGAACCAAAGAGGGATTTGTCACGGTAACCCCGTCTAGCGGAGAACTACGGCGAAGTTAGTGGAAAGGAGCCGAGGGAGAGTAGGACAGGGGAAGTTAGGCGAAGTTAGTCGAAGTGAGCAGAGTAGGATATCGGGGATATGGCGAGGTACGACGAAGTTGAACGAAGGGGACTGAGCGTGAGGCAGTGCAGGAGTTGAGAGACGTTCTATGAGAAGAGAGGAGTAGTATAGATAGTTTACAGATCGCTGAACTTCTTCAGCGATCCTTGATTGTTGTCAGTAGCGAGAGATATATTCATTAGCTACAACCTTCGAGTTAGGGAGAGCTACCACTTAGCTGTTCAACGTACTACGGCGAAGTTAGCCGCAGTTCATCGACGATCATCCTATCATTTACCACTCGACACATCACTACGGCGAAGTTAGCCGTAGTTCCTCGTCGAGTACCCTGTGTTAGTGAGACAACGACGCCCCACTACAACGTAGTTAGCCGAGGTTTGTCGACCGTCGGTCAGTAGAGAAGAAGAAACGACGTTTGTGACAAATGGGTAATGGAAGAGGAAAGGTGATGGAAGATGAGATGTGTGATCAGTACCTAAGGAGTTAGGTGATGATGCACATGAGAATAGAAGAAGTGAGTGGCAAATGTGTCTAGAAACCAAATGAGAGTGAAAGTACAACAGAAGAAGTGATTCCCTCTTCTGCAGAACCGGCTCCCTTTATATACATTTCAGTCTTCGAGAGGATCGAATGTTCTCACAATTCGAGGTCGACATCGAAGAACTTCTACAAGAAAGTGACTATACTACTACTAAATAACAAGTCTATGTACATACCGATCTGAACATATGGAAGAAAGGAAGGTCGAGAGAGTCTATACAGACAGTAGAGAAGGAATTACAATGAAGTGAGTGTGGGGAGGGAACGGAAGGAAACAAGTGAGAGATTGAAGAAGACTATATACAAGATAGCACTGAGAATGCACTGGTGTACTCCCTGTACACTCTACATACGTACCTTGAAGGGGATGGTATCAATGAGGTTATTCGACTCAGGAATACCGAACGAGTATTGGTCCTATGCTGTCAGATACGCTGCCATTATAATTATGAAAACATCAATTGGTGTCACAGGATGTTCAGGGTGGACATCACTCACAGGAAGAGACACCAACCTAGATAGCGTGTGGAGATTTGGTGAACGATGTTTCGTTCAGATACCGAGAGAGACAAGGCTGAAGTCGAACTTCACGATACCTAGAGGTTCATCAGCCATTATACTAGGTCAAGATGAAGGTGTGAGCGGTTGGATCGTTAGAATGGACGGATTGGGACGAATCGAACACTCACGAGACGTTCGTCGCTCGACAGGACGATTGGTGGCTACTAGAGAGTTGCCAGATGTCATCCAAACCCCTCTTGACGCCATCGAAGTGGACCTAGACCCCGTCGTCAACGAAGAAACTTTCCCTGACGACCGCTCAGAAAGTGGCGAACAGGAAAATATCGATAATGATCAAGGAAATGATGTCGACAGAGACAACTCACCTAATACAGGTCCACAACCTACTGAAAGACGACGTGGACAGGGCATCTGGGGAGGAAATTGGGTCCATGAGAATGATATCGTCGAAAATGAGAGAAATGATGAGGAAGGAAGAAATGATGGGGACGAGGTGATCGTGACGACACGTCACGGACGAATTATTTGGCCTCCCCACCGTTTTGCAGGCCTAACAGACCCGTTCCTAGAGTTTGGTCGCGAGCCTAATAGGTTAGTCGCACTCGCCTCTATTGCAGGTATTGAAAGTGACACTTCTATCATTGATCCTGTCTCTCCTGAGGAAGCAGTGAACGGCCCAGATGGTGAAAAATGGCTAGAATCAATGGAGAAAGAGCTATCTAACATTGAATCTAAAGAAACATGGGTGGAAACGGTACTTCCACCGGGTCGAAAAGCCATAGGCTGTAAGTGGGTATTCAAAGTGAAGACAGATTCAGAAGGAAACCTACTAAAGTATAAGTCCAGACTAGTAGCTCAAGGTTTCTCACAGGTACTGTCACGGCCGTCGAACAACTACCTTCTAACAGACCGACGGTCGACGAACCTCGGCTAACTTGACACTTCTAAGTCGATGTCTCACCCAACCGGGAGGGCGCAGACGTCGAAAGGAGTGTAACTACGGCGTACTTCGGCGTAGTTACTCTAACTGGGGTTTTGTTCTACTGATGGAGATGTATCTCGATTTGTTTATAGCTATCTCTATCTATCTTTCACTACTGACAACAATCAAGGATCGCTGAAGAACTTCAGCGATCTTCTCAGCTAATATTATCTATTCCTCCTAGACATTCATCCAACCCTCTCGCGCTTAAACATCCTTCCACGCATATTGGCCAACTTCCCCTAACCATCCCACCCCACTTCTCTAACCTCGCCTAGCTTCGCCGTACTTCTGATCCCTCCATCCCTAATTAGTCCTAAGTTTGTCTCACTTTGCCGTACCTCTCTCCCTTCATCCTTAGCCTATCTAAATCTGCCATGGTTGGTCTCAGATGTCCTAGGATACGTGTAGACCAAAGAGTTCAAGAAATGATGGACGTTTGATGGTCCAAGGAGGGTCGTTGTTGGTGGAATTTAGGGGTCGGTGATGGTGGTTGCCAGGGATGTTACGACGTAGTTCGTGACACTTTAATCGGCGGTTGCGGGTAGGATCCTGGGTTCGACTCCCCGGACGGCGCCGGGGGTAACCCAGGCCCTACTTGGAAAACCTCCCTCTCGGAGTAAGTTTTCGGTCTATCGTACCCTTCCCAAGTGTGGGGGCCCAAGCGGGGTCCCCTTGTCGGGGCCCCAAAGCGGGGGCCCAAGAGAGTGCATAATGTCACAAAGTGTGTGACAAGTCGAGCGAAAGTCGGGGAAGGGTATTTAACCAGCGATCGGCGGTAGGGTTAACCGCCGATTAATAGGCCGTTTCGTCGCAGTTTTCCACCTTGGCTAAGTGGTTAAACTGGCTAGTCATTGATGGTGGAATGGGAACTATCAGTGTAATGTGGTCATGGGTTCAATTCCCATGCCGATCAAGGGGTTTTCTCCGGGCACTCCGGTTCCCCTTGTACATGAGTCTGTGCAAGCCATTCATGCTATAGTTCTTATAGTAGGCTTGTTTTCGCACTGGGCTTGATGTCTTGTGCACAGCAGCCTCCTCCCGAATCAGGTTAAGATCACTGTTCCGTTGGGCACTGTTATATCGTGCATATGCTGGTCAGTATGTCTCGTGACATGTCACAACATAGTTTGCGACACTCGGCTGATACTCGTGCGCTCTGGTTCCTCAATACGCTCCCTCAAAGTGACTTCAAAGTCATGTGATCCCTCTGCGTTAATCTCCCTACGACTTCGAAGACGTGGGCTGAGCTTCAACACTTGTATCAAGTTGAAGTCCCAGATTGCGCACGATTCATGCCTCCAACCCTGGTCAGATCAACAATATGACTGCAGATCCTCCTTGTATGACTGCGGAAAGCAGGATGCAGTCGGGAAGATCCTCAAGTACAAAGCTCGACTTGTAGCAAAGGGATTTTTGCAACAACCTGGTATAGATTACGAAGAGATGTACGCACCCGTAAGTCGTATGGTCAGCCTACGAATTGTACTCACGATTGCTGCATCATACAATCTCGTAGCACATCAAGCAGATGTTGAAGGAGCTTATCTCAATGGTGTACTTGAAGAAGAAATCTACATGAGATACCCAGAAGGTATGGCTCGAGCTCCCGGTTGTAATACCTTATGATTGTACAAGTCACTGTACGGTCTCAAGCAGTCTGCACGAGTTTGGTGGATCAAACTCGGTAATGCGCTTGCAACGTACGGATTCGTACAACTCAAATCAGATTGGGGAATGTACTACAAGGCATCTAAAGGTTCAGATGGTCCTATTATTGTACTCGCATAAGTGGACGACCTCGTAATCACAGCGTGAACTCGAGACGTGATTGTACGACTCATGCGATTCCTCCAGTCGAAGTGGACATCGACAGAAATGGGGGAGATGAAACAGATACTAGGGCTCAAGGTAGTTTGTGATTGTACGAACCGTACAATTCACCTATTGCAACCAACATATATCGAACGTGCAGCTGCGGAGAACTCGGTTGCATTCAAGCCTACGGTCCTCCTCTCCCACAACATGTTGAAGATCTCTACACCACTTCAACACCGCTCGAAGCTACGACTCCATACCTCAAGATCATTGGATCGTTGATGTGGATCGCAAGATCGACACGACCTGATGTTTGCTTTGCGACACGATATCTCGCTCAATTCTCAGCCAAGCCAACCAAAACACATCTCGCACTTGCAAAGCGTGTGATGTCGTATCTTGTACATACGAAAGACTACGTTCTCAAGCTTGAGGGAGGACCGTATCAACTCGAAGGATGGGTCGATGCGGACTATGCTGGTTGTACGGAAACATGAAAGTCTACGACTGGCTACCTATTCAAGTTCTGCAATAGTTCTATCCAATGGCAGTGTTGAAGACAGGCTACGATTGCGCAGTCTACAATGGATGCGGAGTATATCGCAACCACAGAGGCTGCTCGTGAAGCTGTATGGATATGAAGTCTATTGACTGAACTCGGTTTCAAGCAAGTCACAACACGACTTAATTGTGATAATCAAAGTGTGATACGACTCGCACACAATCCTGGTACGCATGCTCAATCAAAGCATATAGACGTACGACATCATTACATCCGTGAGAAGATACACAGTGGTGAATTGAAACTTGAATACGTACAGTCCAAATTGCAGGACGCAGATTTCCTTACAAAGATCCTACCGCACAACGCGCACAAAAAGAACTGCACTCATATACAACTCATCGCGTCTCATCGTAATTCCGTATCCTACATTGAATCGCATTCCGTATCGTACCTCACATCGCATTATCTCTCTCTCTCTATCAACCTTGTATTCACTATGACCAACACTCGTGCCGCAGACCCTCGTATCGCAATCTCACAACATATTATCGAACAAGGTATCCTTGCGGATACACACGACACCTGCAATGATTGCTTGGCGGCACTACGACACAATGGTACAATCCGTGAAGCTCAACCATGCTATTATATGTTGGATGGTGTACTTGGTAAATGTGCAAGATGTACTCGACACGGTCGCACCTGTTACGTACACAATCACAATGACAAAACTGATGGCCTACGTACTCGGCCTGTGAAGAACATCTTTGCTGTATATCGTAGTGACGAGGAACTTGCAACCGCACGATCTCGACTCGAAGCGTATAACATCAAGCACGATATCAAGCGTAACACCGTACAAACTACGCCTGCAATCCCTACAATCCCTACCTTCTCGATTGTTCCTGCGACCGTCGCTTCTACACCCACGACGATCCCTACGCCCGCAACGATCCCTACAATTGCAACATCTACGATCAAAGAGCTACGTATTGCATGTCAGAAGCTTGCGGATGTACGTGAAGTCGTCACCAATTCTGAAGAAGTACCTCTCTCATTTGCTGCACAACTTGCAGAATTCGAACTCAAACTCGAATCATACGCTTTCTCTTCCCGTGATCTTACCCGATCGCACAATCCTGTTGAAGTCGTATCGTCAAACATTGCTCCTGTCAACTCGTGACATATCCATTTTGACATCGACTACAACATCGACTACGGCGCTTAGAGCGCCGTAGATCCCTTTCGTACCGTGCACACAAGATTTCCTGGTTTGCTCGTGATTCATGCCTTTTCCTCCCGTACGTCCAGGTCTATGATACGGTCACCTTAGTCTCTTGGTTGGAATCAGTTTATTTGTTGGAGTTGGTGTCATTAGGGGGAGTGTTGATTAGTAATGCCACGTAACTATGGTACAGATTGGTCATACGATTTTATTCCGTAGTCTTCGATGTGACTTTTTACTATCATCGTAATCGTAATCGTTGTACACTTCAAATAAGGGGTAACTGTTTCAAGTTCATGGATGTAACAAGGAACAATAGACAGAGGACACGTGAGTCCAGGGGTAAGTGTTTGAGGTACGTGAACACAAAGGAGAACAATAGATGAAGGGCACAGGAGTTCAGGGGTAAGTGTTTCATGTGTGGGAGTGTGAGAGATAACAATGGCAATAGTTGATGGATATCAAGAACAATAAACTAAGCCAAAGGGGGTCAGGGGTAAGTGTTCCAGATGTGTTTCAAGTGTGGGAACACGGGAAAAGACTATCTTAGGTGGCAAGTAGGTGATGTATGACAGTCATCAAGTAAGTCTGACTCTTGTCTATGTGGATGATGAAGGAGGAGTCAAGAATGGTACCAAAGTTCATACTCCTCTGAGTCATTGTGAGAAGGATGGTACATTGGCCAGAGGCGGATGACTCAATCATTCTGCTGCCGGTAAACAATGTTCCCCTGTCACTTCTCATACCTCTTGTACCATGTGTATAAGCTGACATCTGTGAGGGAGTCTTCCCTCTGGAGATATTGGTCATACCAATCCTTGTCTTCCACCTCCTCGTCATCCTCCCGTTGGCCTTGCAGTCGTCGGGATCGAGAGGGCAGGAGACACAGAGTCTGAAAGTCCCGAGATGCTGACATCATGTTGCAGTCAAGCAAGGAGAGACAAACCTCCTGTGCACTGTAGTCCCGCTCTGTAACAACCTTGCTGAGCATCTTCTGAAAGATCACCCGGCTTGATGTCTCCTCTTCCACCTGATTTGCTATAGCTTGCATGACGTCTCCAAAAGCAAGACTAGGCTTCTCTGCCTTGGAAGCATATTTGGCAACATAATTTGCCACAGCATGTGGGTCGGTGCATGGTTGAATGTCCACATTTGCCTGCCATCCTAGGATTAAGACTGGGTTATACAGATTCAGAAGAGAATCGTTGCGAGGGTTAGGGTCACTCCCTTTCGGTCGTTTGAGGCAATATCTCAAACAGCGGGTATGGCGTTGAACTCTATTGAGATGTTCAGCTAGACTTGGGTGATTGTAGGTCATGTCGGCATGAGGTCGGGAAGAAGGATGTTGGGGGGCCCGTGGAAGATTGACACATGGATTGATGGCCCAGACTTTCTTCCGTCAGAAGTTTATGAACTCGTTCTGAACCTCCTCTCCACCAGCCTTCAAGTTTTCCACCTGTGGAGCATCTTCTAGCCAGAGAATGCCGTGTACATGACCAGAGCCCTGACTCTGCCATTCAAATCTCAACCAAAAGTCCTTGACCTGTAGAAGGGGGATGATGACATGCTGCAGGAAAAGAGCTGCTCGTCGTTGGATCCACCACGCTACCATTGCAGGATTGTTGTTGACATTTGTGGAGTTTATTCTTTGACGGGTGGTTTCATCAAGTGCAGGAGTTGTTGTGGTGGAATGGGGCATGTGTAACGGTACTGGAAACACGATGACTAGGTCGCAGGTTGGGTCGAACTCGATGGAAGTCTTGTGGAAATCTATGTGTCTCTGGTGCTATGTGATGGATCGTGTCTCCTCTGCAATCGATGTAGCCAAAGAATGATATTGAAGAATCACCAACGTTGGTACTTTGCTGATTGCACTATATACTATCTACAAGAGTCCGCGTCCTCCTCTCAGTCCTACTGCAAGCGTCTATGTACATACTCGGACAGGTGAAAAACCGCTTTTGAGCAAACCCAGTGGGGAAATCTCGAAAAGGGAAAACCCGTCCCTACCTACTGCAGCACTGCCTCCAATTCCCGCTGTTCTCTTTCCTAATCCGTCCAACTCGATCGAGTTCTCTCGATTCGTTGTTACTCCGTAACAGCATGTGAGTATGTAGATCAGCCCACTGAATGTCAGCTGCAGAGAGGGTGATGAAAGCGTGGGGAGTTCCTAGTTGTCGAATCATAGTTTTTATTTCTTGACTTCTTGCAGACCAGTAGGGAGGGGTTCCTCTCAAAGTGCTTGCAACTCTACGAACTCGACTTGCAAGTTCAGTTGAATCGGAAGCAAGCAGTTGCTGGATGTTGGCTGCATTGAGGGCTTGATCATGGTGATTTCGACTGACATAGTAACTGGCAAGTGATTGAGCTTGCCATCTGAGTAATGCATTGAAAGCATAGTAGCTGTGTCCAATCAGTTGCAGCTGGTCTATCAAGAATACTGACTCACCAAAACCGAGGGTGAGAGGCAAAACGGCCGTCATGGAATTTCATGAGGTGTTTAAAATAATTGTTGGGCTTAACTTCACTCTGGCGAGATGCGTGAAGGTCTGCAAGACCTTGGGGGAAAAGGAAAGGAAAAGCTTGTACCAGGTGTTGACTGGTCTTGTCGTGTTCGTATAGTGGTGTTGGCCTTACTCCGGGAGCGGTCAATGGTGCTCTAATCCCTTCTTCAATCTCTTCCAGCTTTGTACGCGTCTCTTCAACCTCCCTAAGTGCACTTCCAACATTTGGAATGACAGCCTCCAAGATGATGTCCTCCCCACCAACATCACCAAAATCAGGGATATCTGTTCTTGGAGAGGTGTTATCCACTGATGTTGACCGCAACTGGTCAAAGACCAATCCTTGCTCTGGCAGAGTTGCAAGCACTTCATGATCAATCTCTACTTCAGAGTATGCTGGATGGAACTGGCGGAGAGCAAGCAGATTGTCCAACAAATGAGATTGACTGACTTGGAATTCAGGTGGTCTTGAGAAAGCTTCAACATTTGAGTGTGCTGCTTGTTTGTCCTTGATGATGAGGATATCAAGTTGAGCGGGCAGAATTGGAAGCCGACTGATCAGGGAGGTGTTGTCTTGAGCAAAAAGGCATGTATGACCAGCATATTTGGTTTGTGTACTGATCCTGCTTGTGAGGATCACCACAAATATATAAATGTCACCTACCCGTAGGGCTGGATACTGAACCGGAACTCTGTGATGTGGATAATACTAGTCAGCGTTGATCAAAGGTCAGTAAGTGTAAGGAAAGAGTGTGTCATGGAAATCAAAGGGGGTCTGAGAGAGGATTGAGGAAAAGGTGAGAAGGAGGAGGAGGAGGAGGAAGAAGAACAAGAAGTGAGAATGAAGAAGATCATGGGGAATCTCTCTCTCAGGCCCCGCTTATATGCATATCAGTGTGTCTCAAACTCGATACAAGGCCGAATCGTCCTCGATTCGAGTAAAGGAGAAACTATGTAAGAGAAGGAGGGAAATCTACGTATGAGAACGGAAAAACTATGTATGAGAACGGAGAATGTATCCACAAATATGTGGTCCAAGTATGAAGGAGAACGAAGGAAATAGTGAAGCACATATTGTGGTCTACACGAACATATGAGTGAGAAACGGTAATGGACAGGATGAAAGGGTAAGAGGAGAAGGGGGAGGAGACAGCAGAAGATGATATAAGACAATATGAGTTGGGGGAATGGATCAAGGAAGAAGGAAGAGGTATGGAAGGAGAGCTATTATACTCTCTTATGTAGGGGAGGCCTGATCCACTACAGTTTGTCCCCTTCCTGCAACTTGCCAAATCTGTAGGTGTAGGTGTCTGAATATGAACACGGGACAGGGGCATCTCTTCTATCTGGCTTGGGGGATTTGGGGGTGTTATCCCATTTTGTTGACAGAGGATTGTAAGTGATGGTCCTACCCGGTTAGTGTCGGCCAGGACAAGGTGACAAGCGTACCTGGGTCCATGTTGTTATTAGCTGTCAATCTTCCTCCTCTCCCTTTCCTGCACCGAGCACATGTATTGTCCCTCACATTGAGATCAAACCACCGTTCATTGCACACATGACAATGCTCCATTGTGATTCTCCCCAAGCTTTCATGGAAAGTATTGATCATGGATACCTCAGATGGGAGAAGGCAAGGAGAAGACAGTGATGCCGGCTCGGAATTGATGTCAATATGTGAAACGTCAGGAAGATCCTCTGGTATGGGTTGCATTAGAGTATGGAATGTAAGGGGAGGTGAAGGAGTTGTTGAGATGACGGGTTGATGGGTTTGCTGTTGAGCACAGTATCTATCCCTCTGTTTCTGTCGGCAAGCAGGACAGGCCTGATAAGGATTGGGTCGATTGGGGTGTTGATAGTCCTCCACAGCTTTGAACAGCCGGCAAGTTGTGCATCGTCTTCTTCCCAAATGACAGTTGGTAAGGGAACGTGCTCCAGGTTGAGCTGGCGGAGGAATGTTGGGTGGTGGGGTCGGTGGGGTATCATATGGACGTCTGGGAGGTCGTCGATTCTCTCTAACTGGCCGACCCAGAGCAAGAAGGGGTGGTGATGGCCTTGCTGGTGATGGAGAAGTGGGGCGAGGTGGAGAAGTGAGGCGAGAAGTGGATAACCGAGTTCGAGATTGGGCTCTGTAAGAGCGAGGGGTGAGACCATGAAGGTCAGGTGAGGTAGGACGGGGATGTGGAGGCTCTGTTATGTCATTAACCTGACATGCTTGACACAATCTTCGTATGCGTCCTTGTGAACCTTGAAATTGTGGAGAGGGAAGCAATGTTTGACACATTGTGCATGTGATAAGACGGTGACGTGAAGACGGGGTTGCAAGAAGAATTGGAGACTTTTTGTGACAAAAGCAGCAGCTTTTCCAGAATTGCTGACAATATCTGCCAGAAGAAGCTTTTCGAAAATGTGTGTCGTCAAAGGTGATGTCTGATGGTGCTTGACATTGATTTTGCTCCTGAAGATAACAGTGAAATGGCATGGTGACAAAGCCACACGGAGGTGAAGGACAACTGTAGCTAAAATGTACATGAAGCAAAGTTTGAATGTAATCAGAGCCAGCCAATCAGCTGCTGAGAATCTTCTTCGAAGAATGTGTAGAAATTGATTCCGCGTTCACCCCCATAACGTTTGCGAGCTGACGCCCGCAATCAAGCGTAACACCGTATGAACTACGCCTGCGATCCCTACCTCCTCGATTGTTCCTGCGACCGTCGCTACTACGCCCGCGACGATCTCTACGATCACCACATCCACGATCGAAGAGCTACGTATCGCATGTAGGAAACTCGCAGACGTACGTGAAATCGTCACCAATTCTGAGGATATACCTCTCTCATTTGCTGCACGACTTGCAGAACTCGAACTGTATGCTTATCCCGTCACTTCTCGTGATCCCATTGAAGTTGTGTCACACATTCATTTCGATGACTATGACTTCGACATCGACTACGACTACGACTACAGCGCTTAGAGCGCCGTAGATCCCTTTCTTACCGTGCACACGAGATTTCCTGGTTTGCTCGTGATTCATGCCTTTTCCTCCTGTTCGTCCAGGTCTACGATACGGTCACCTTAGTCTCTTGGTTGGAATTAGTTTGTTGGAGTTAGTGTCATTAGGGGGAGTGTTGATTAGTAATACCACGCAACTACGAGACGGATTGGTCATACGATTTTATTCCGTAGTCTTCAATGTGATTCTTTACTATCATGGTAATCGTACTCGTCGTACACTTCGAACACAAACCCCTGACTTCGACGATGTAACCGAGACGCGTCATGACAATTTTGAGTCAGGGGAATCTAGTAAGGCGGAGACTAGAACTCAACGGGTCATTAACTCTCATGCCCTTTGAGACGCAAGGGAATGGTCTGACCCAGACGTACAGTAATGTGCTGTACTTGTACTGTGCTTGTATTGTACAGGATGGGCACATTTACCGTCATTGTCAAAATTCATTCATCTCTCTCTCATCATTGATTCCATGTCTCTCTACTCCTTGATTTCAAGGACTCACTTCTATGGGGGTAATTGACAGGCTGTCCGCATGTATACCAACTGGAACACACCGGATTCACAGCCATCAGAATTCTTAGTCATCACCAGAGCTGTTGTCACTGTCGGCGCACCTTTCCTGTTCAGCCCATTCTTCATTGGTGAGATTTCTTGTAGGTGATGCTCGCTGAAGAATCTCTCCTATGTGATCATTGATCCCAAGTGAAGGTCCTTCTATTGCATATTGACTGTAATCAACTGGATCATTGCCCGCAGCTTTGAGGAAGTCCATGCTGTCGTTGGAAACAACATACATCTTGACAGCCGGAGTGGGAATGTTAGACACCCGATTAAGCACAGCAGCGGTCATGATGATACTTTTGGCGCCAAGGATTATGTTGGACGCAGTCCACTCACCAATAGCCTTCTTCGCAGCGGTGACGTTCTCTAGCTGTCCCCAACTCTGCAGCTCCTCCGGTGAGGTGCACATCATCTTTTTGTGGTCTGGCACAAGATGGATATCGAGGAAGCTGAAAGAGTATTGCGCGATTCGACCAGCCCGTTCCGCAGCCATTGGAAGTTTCTGAAAGTGTGACAGACTTTCAATCGTGAAAGTGCCATCCTCTTCCATGAAGTCTTCTAAATTCAGTAGCATGTCGGACTGCTGATAATATGCTTCCACAAGTTCCTCGGTGCCTGGAGGAAATGCGATCAGGTATTCAACGGTAACTTCTAAGTTGTCCCAAGTACCTATCACTTTCACTGTCACGCAAATGCTTACACAGTCTCCCGATTCCTCCGGACCACTCTGCAACGAGACCTGCACCAGCCCGCCTAGCCTACGTGTCTCAATCGTCTCAGTCCCCCTTTGAGGTCCCGAAAGAGGGAAAGTGCGAGACAAAGCCCTTTGGGAGCTCATTTGTCTACGTGCAGATACGTCTAGATCAATAAGTGTACTTGATGTTGAAGGGGTAAGTTAGATGACTATTGAATTGGAGTTGGGAGTGTGGTTGACCAAAGAAGGAGATCATTGTAGTATTTATAGACAGTAGCTGGGTGGTTTGTCTGCTAAGGAGAGGAAAGCAGTGCTTCTTTTGCTTTGTCTAACATTACGTGAGTGGCCTGGATTGATGCCTTCGCTTGCCCACGTCATAAAGGTCTAGGCCCGTTCTGCTCCACAACCCCAATCTATCTTGTGGAGTTCCAGACCTGGCACATATTGGAGATGTTTTTTGCACATCTCCTCCTCCCCTCTTGCTCCTACCTCTTTGTTCTTGCCTGCTGTCAGTGTACGTGTAGATAGTTCACGCTTCGCTCCATTGGTTCTGTTATCAAATAGCTTCAACCACAATCACATTCACCGTGTATTTCCCACTCCCTCCCACCGTTTCGCACACATTTATCAGATTTAGTCCTTTCTTGATGAGCACCGTGAAGTCGTGATCAACCTGCAGAAATATTCGAGAACGAGAATCACCAAATTATGTCATTTTCAGGTCTTCCAATTTGAAAAGTGAGTGTTTACATGCCAAACAACATCTTGGCTTGAACCAATTCGTCTCGTTGATATTCGTCCAACCCCATGGTTGTGGTTGTAGGAACAGGACAGATGGAGCCCAGACTTGTTGCCACTTCTCAAGTAAGCATCTTCCCACCTCTGCTTATAACATTTGAAGGCTCCATGGAAGAAGCAGTAGGAGGATGGGAAACCACGCAGCTTTGGTCACCTCCCATGATTTCTTCCAAGTCTTCTTCCACTTGAAAGGAAGAGAGCTGTGGTAGGATATGAGCTCTCTCTGGAGAGGGAAATGACATACAGGCAACGTAGGCTGATGCGTGATCCTAGATTATCCCTCCTTAGGCAATCCTTCTGTCAAGAAACGGGCTCTAGCCTTGCAACCGACAAGTACGTGATCGATCACTTTGTGTACGACAGAGGAAGAAACATTCTTTGAAGAGATATAAGCTATCTTGGAGAATGTAGTTGATTGTGCTCAGGGTACCCCAACACCTTATCACCGTGTGTGGCAACTTGTCAATCACACGATCCCACAACATCACTTTCAGCATTCATAAAAGGTGCCAGACTTATCTCATCACACCAAGCAGCTGTGATTTCTCATATAGGTAGAAGCCCTAGGGAGTAGACTTTCTGACCCAGAGATGCAGTATGACATGATCAAGATGAGAGAAAATAATCCGACCCAATGACTGTTACGTGACAAAAGGAAGCCGTGACCCTTCAAAGTGTTGCGAGGGTCAGCATGACAGGCTGAGGATGCATACAACTTTGAAGGGTCAGGGCGGTTCATGGCCTCATGATCATGACCCATAGCAGAATTGCCCCTCACTAGTAACCATTGGTTCAGACAATCACCCTTTTTGATAGGAGGATATTTCAGCTCAGAGAAGATCATAAAGTAGGATTAATTCCACCACATCAGTGTCACATGAGCCAGCACTACTGGTGTTGCTTGAGCCCCTTTGAGCCATGTCTCACTTGGCTAACTTCGTCCGCTTTGGTACTTTCATTGATTTTGGTACTATGATTGACTTTCGTATCATTGGCGTGGACACTGTGAGGACCTTTGAGCGTTTCTTTCAGGTTTTGGGCCCTCCTGTCCTGAACGATTAGTGGTAGGCCAGCATTAGGTAGAGGCATTGAACTCTTTGCATTCACTCTTATCAGTATTTTTCTTACTGCTTCTATTGTCACATCAGGCGCTAGTGTGCTGAGATAATGAATTGAGGTGTTCAGATTGTGTTTGCTATGGCTTCTATCTTGTTGGTAAGCAATTGCAAGCTTGATTTTGCTCTCATCCAAGGGGAGGAATGACACAACAATACTGTCAAACTGTTTGTTCTGTATATGCTCGTCGTTGTTGAAACGTGATTGAAGTGTGATGGTCACTTCATTAGTAGTCACATCACTCAGAAGTCTTAAAGTATGGGGCTTCATTGGATGTCTGAAGTTTTTAGCTATGGCCACAATGTCAAATCCAGTACCGTCCTTGACAGTTTTCAGTCTGGTTTCTGTCACCATTCCCATCTCCTTCCTTGTCCACTTCAGCAGTTCTGTACATGCTGCTCCCATTACTGCTCTCTCAGAGGTTTTCATCTCTTCTGGAAGTCCTAGGTACCACTGAGTGAAAAGAACAATACTTGTCTCATCCGCATCCCAGCCCAAGTTCGAAGTCACTCCGACTACCCTTTCCTCGTCAGCATTAAGCAGGGCTTCCGTGATTTTGGGTGAGGCGATTACCCATTTCTTGCTCATTTTAAGAGAGTGATGGATCTTCAGTAAGAAGGGTAAAAGGTTCTCTTAGTCTAGGGGGAAGAATATCCCCTCCAGACCAAATCCGGCCGAGTTCGAAAGCCGTGCGATGCAGGAGAAGGGAAGGTCCGTGCTGGAAAGTTTTCTGTCCTGGCAGGTAAAATCGTTCATCCGTCGACTTTGGGGATTTTGAAACAGCACAGTTAAATTCTTGTCGAGTTTTATTGAGTCTTATCAGGTCTCCATGTCTGTGATCCTTGAAAATTCTCAAATGAACAGTTTAATCATCTACAAACCCGGTGACAAGTGGTCACTCAGACTAGGACATGTGGGATGATATCAAAGATCCAACGGCTTGGTGGCAGGTTGTGTTTGATGGGGTCTGATGGAAAGGCACAACTCTCTAGTGCTAGGTAATTGAGTGTGCCCAGCACAGCAGATATGCCCAAAGTAAGATATTGAAGTATCAAGCAAAGTTGGTACTTTGCTGATTCTACTTCATACCACCTATTGCTATCCATGGCTTGCTGCAAGAGTCTATGTACCTACTTGGATGGCTAAAAGACCTCTTTGAGCAGACTCAATGGAGAAAATCTCAAAAGGGTAGGGCCCGTCCCTACCTAATGCTGCTGGCCTCTGTCTCCTACTCTGCGGTATCCGATGGTCCTAGGTGGATGGTCAGCCATGTCAACATCCATTGGGTCCTCGCTATTGTCGGTCCCCAAAGTGCCCCCATCCTCCTTGGAATTGTTCAGGGAACCCTCACTAGAACCCTCCAAACTATCCTCTTCTTCCTCGTCTGAACTGGCCCAATCATACATTTGAAGGGATGGTCCAATAATTGTGTTCATCATTGTTTCCCATGCCTCTTCATTGAGTGGTTCTGTACCATTGCTTCTACTTCTTATGAAATTATCCATTCGTATTGCAACCTTCTTTGGCACATGGGTTTGGAAATTGTCTTCGTTATATTCTATATTACAGTTCTTCATGTCCCTTGTTCCTTCAAAAAGATTATCATCATATGCGAGAATCTCCAGTGGGTTACTCGGGACTGGCTCAATCATCCTCCCATTGGTCCTCACCCAAGAAAACACTGTGTAAGATACCCATGAACAAACACCTTTCCTGAGGTGCTCAACATCCCTCTTAAGTTTTGAATCTGGCTGAAGATCCTCTTGAGCCGTGTTCAACAGTTCTTGGTCCTCCACACTGAGAAATTCAGCAGCAGCTGTGAAGGCTTCAATCACACTCTTTGCCAAGTCATGTTGCCAGGTTTTGAGCGGAGCGGCTTCGTCGTCTAAGGTAAGCGGGTGTGAGTCCAGGTTTGCACATCTTGTCTGTGGGACCTGGAGGATGCCTTGAAGGATGTCCTCTGAATTGTTGAAGAACAGATTTTGGTTAGTTCCTGATGGGAGACCAAAGACTGTTTCAACAGAGACTTTGATTTCACTCAACTTCCCTTCATCTCAATGACAAAGACCAGAGTTGGCTGCTTGGGCGGCTTTAGAGTCCCAACAACCAGCTCGCTATGTAATTTGAGTGCACCAGAGAGCTTTGACGGATTGTGTGAGGAGACATTCATTGTGTATGTCTACGTTTCAGGTTTCACCTCTTAGTAGATTGCTATTGTGTTTGGGTGGTGAGCAACTGATGGGGGGTTAGTAAGTATTGTGATGAATGAGAGGTCCAACATCCAAGCTTCATATAGCCTGACAGGAAGGTAGCATGAGAAGCAGGCCAGGAATGATGCCTTGTAGGCCATTCTTTCAGGTCAAGGGAAGGGGAGAAGGGTGTGACGTAACACGTCTCGAATCAAACATCTCGTGGGCGGAAACGTGGGAATTTGAATGACTCATAGTGATATCATCGTCAGAGAAGTCACGGTGGAGACCAATCCGGTCACTTCCAAACCGTCTCCCCGTCATAGCGTTCTTGTCCCTTCAATGACGCGCACAACATGATATTCATTCACAGACATGAATGTGGTAGTTTACACAGCCATGACGACGACATGACGTCCATCCTCCATCCCACTTCTATCTTACACTTTTGCCTCGGCCTCTTCCCATGATCTTACGATTACGCACCTTTCGCCACTCGGGCCACCCGTAGACATCGCATCATTTCCCTCGCAGCTTCAGAATGGTTGTTCATCCCCCCAAAGAAGGCTCGGGTGGCGTCGCGCGGCCTTTCTTCCTGCTGCTTGTCATCGCGGTCGTGGACTTTGACGGGACTGGATTCGTCATCAGAGCCAGAAGGAGAAGCAGAGGAGTAACCGAGGTCAACGAGAGTATCCGATGAGGATAGAGGAGCTTGTCGACGGAGGATGAGAGAGACAGAATGTGAAAGCAGGAGTTGTTCACCACCAGGCTATACATCAGCACAACAAGAGAGCATGAAGACCATCAAAAACTCACATGATCTTCAAGATAACCCCCAACGTCCACAACACAACCTTCTAGCATCAACAATACCCGACGCCTCTTCTCTCCACTTTTCTCCACCACCCATTCCCCATTACGCTTGCTGATCTCCTTGCGGCTCCAGACCGGCAGTTCTTCCAGAGGTCGTATGGTCTCACCTACTGCCAGATGCTGCGTGAGACGACGGGCGTTGGCGAGGAACACCCGGGCGCGCGCTTTGTGGATGGCAGACTCGGATGTGCGAAAGATAGTGGGGACGAGGGATGTGTAGCGGTGGAGGATCCAGATGAACCATTTGCTTGGATCCCAATCCCTGCTCAGTCAGCCGACAGCTGGATGGTCTCTTCCTCGTTCGGATGGTTACTCACGCCGGATGGGGACCATTTCTAAAGTCCTTGCTGCCATGTCAAAAATATAATTTTTCATCCAAAACAAAACATACGGGAAAGCGTGGTGATAGCTGATCAGTCAGCAGGGTGCGTATTACTAGTCTCTGAGAACGTACTTGTGATTCCCTTCACCGGAGGTGAGGAGAGCAAGGAACTAGTATGTTAATCACCAAGCTTCGAGAGACAGTGGGCGTCGAAAACTCACATAGTTTCCACGAGCGGTGACCTCCTCAGTATATGGCTGGATACCTGTCCAATGGGCAAGTGAGTTGATGCAGAATGTGGTGTGCCTGGAGGTCAACAATGTTGACCGGCCAAATCACTCACCAGATCAGGAGACGTGCGACAGCACCACCCCACACCAATCCTCCCATCCAATCATTCCAACCAGCTTTGGCGATCAACGCGGGAAGGATGAGACCGGAAAAAAGGGCGATGGGGACATAATGCCGGTGCTGGAAGCTAACGACTGAAAGTCAGGCATGACGGTATGATAGTGTGAAGAGCAATAGATTGTTTGATGAGGGATTACCCACCAGGATCCGTTTCGAGATCCTCACGCTCGATGAGCTTCATCCGAGCGTACACTGGCTTGCGGAAAATCCAACCGCAGTGAGAGTACCAGAGTCCCTTCGTGGCTGCGTAGGGGTCATGTATGGGACTATCCGTGAAGCTGTTCTATCAGCATCAAAGTCTGAAGTCTGGCATAATGTACCAATGACAGAGGGAGGTTTCGCACGTCAGTGACGGGTGAAGAGATGAGCGGAAAGTACCACATTGAGGTTGACTCGTGGATGGAAACAATAAGAGACTCAGATATGTAAAGGACAGATCAACGAGAAGATGTTGAAGTTGATGCGGGGAAATCATCTGATGCATTCCGCGGGCTTTGCTTCTCCCGACATCCATCTGGCCTCAGGGCAAAGGACATAGCATGTGGCCGAATCTGGAAACGATCAGAGCTGAGGTGACTCACCGGTGATGTAACCGATGTCGTAAGGTCCACCACTTGATACTACCCTGAAATCCCATTGATCCCATCCAGGCCAGAAAGATTCGCAGAGGCAGCGTAGCGGTGAAGGCTCGATGAGACCAGAGTCGGTGGTATCCTGTTCCGTTAGCAAGCCTCATACGGTTTCTCAGAATGAATGACCTGACCTATCGTTATCCTGCTGGTCAGTATGATTTCCCGTCTTACGTGGTCTTAGTTCCAAATCAAGCATACAGGGAAAGTATTTCAAGAAAGAGGAGTAATGAAGGATTAGAAAGAGTTGCTCACCCAAAACTCGCCAGCTGCCAGCTAACGAAGCAGAGAATGGCGTTGGCCAGATTGAGCTTTGTGACAGGTGAGAGTACTGTGACACCAGCTACGGCGAACACGTGCATGCCTAACGGTCAGGCTTGATCAACGAGAACAACCGAGGAAAGACGCACCGGTGAAAAAGATTCCATTGGCTAGGGTCAGCTGAAGTCACCTGGGTTTATGGGGGGGGGGGGACCAAGCGGTCCAAGCGGAAGAGAAAGCATTGGGGAGGATTGATGTTCCCCTGGAGACAAAGAAGACATGGATACGGGGAGATGGATCTGTAGAGTGTCATGTGAATGATGAGGGGAGGAGAGAAACCAGAGCGAGGGAAATGAGAAGAGTAAGATAGAAGGAAGGAAGGGGGGGAGGTGAGAACAGCTGAAAGAAGGGAACTCACACCACCAAATCTCCCCTTTATTCCTTTCGGCGGCCTCTTTCCTAGCTATCAGTGCGGCAGAGGGAGCAGTGAGAAGTTCTGGATGAGTGGTAGATGTGTCCAACATGACGATTTAAGGAAAGAGGGGATTGTCCTCACTAGGGAAGGAGAAGGAGGAGATGGTGTGAGGAGAAGTAAAGAGGAAGTAGATGAGTGTGCGTGTGCGTGAGTGTGAGAGAGAGAGAGATAGTCGGTACGGGGTATGCATGGTGAAAGATCACTTTGTATGTATGACCGATCGATAGATCGATAGGGTGGTAGTAGTAGTATGTCTCCCCAATGGCTTAGTGCGATGCTTGTCATCTGCCAATGACACCTCGCCGCGTGTCGAAGATCGAAGAGATGACGTCTCGAAGTATTCGCATGATCGCATGGGACGAGCGTGGGTCGATATGTCAATGGTGACTCGATCACCACTACCACCCCCATGATGTATTCTAGACTAAATCCATGATCCATGACCCTCGGGGTGGAATGTAGTGTCGAGATCGCAGGTGACCACGCCGATCGCTTCATCTGCGTCATCACCATCAAAGATGGCATGTGGCACTTCCATGAATGTGGCATTACCTTCGTTTTCCCAACCTGAGGGAAACGCACGGATTTCCTCGATCACCCCTTACGCTGACATCCTTTGCCCAAATCTCGACTGTTTACTCACCCGCAGTCTGATACGAACGGTTCCTACACTACACAAGAGCGGTGATCTCACTGGTGGATTTGATGATCTTGCGGAGCATCCCATAAGTTCATATTATCTCATGTCAGGAAAAGAACGTGTCGAGGGGACGATTAAGAGGCGTACATCGATCTTGGCTGTCGCTTTTCATGATCAAATCTTACAAGATGGACAAGGGACCGAGAAAGTCGAAAGACATATTGGTAAGAGAAAGACCATCCCCCCAATAGATGAGATTATCCGAGAGGTTTCTTGTCTGACCTTTCGGCCAGTGAAGGTCCGACTATCTCCTAAATTTTTCCGATCGAACTGCCGTGTCATCCTCATGGATCTAAGGCCAATAGGAAGGAAAGTCGCGGATCATGCGTGGGAAATAAGATCGACCACACCGCCTCCCACCATGCTCAGGCCTCGACTCGGGGGAAAGAATCAACTCAAAGTGTAGAAAAGAAGACGAAGGTCACGGATCATACGTGAGAAATGAAGTTAACTACACCGCCTCGATCATCCTTCATTCACCGTGGGGGGGGGGAAGGGGGGGAGAGGCGATACGAGGATAGAGGTAAGAGGGAAAATGACGGATCATGCGTGGGAAAACAAAGTCGACGACACCGCCTCGTAGTAGCTCCACCACCGATTACGGAGAAGTGGGCGGTGAGGTCCTGAAAGGGAGGAGGAGGACGTAGACGTCATGGAAGATGGCGGGTTGGTCGAGGAGAGGACACTCTCCCTTTATAGAATAAGAGTGGGGTGGTTCTTCCCAGGAGACAGATTGAAAGGTGAGTGAGATGCCATGTACCATCCTTCACCAATGTCCCTCTTCTTCAGTCTATTTATACTGCAATCCTATTTCATAAACCATCCCAGCAAAGTCATCAACCAATTGGTTTCTAGACACAGATCCAGGTATACTCAATCTTCATCAAGATCCTCAAACACCCGTACAAACTTCCACTTCCCTGCCTGAAATGAAGTACCTCTGCCCTACCAGCCTATCCAAATCAGTTCTTGCCAAACCATCGCAGGCAAGTCCAACTGCTCATCTGATTCTGGGACTGAATTTTTCTCTTCCCCCAAAGGCAGTCGACACAGAGAAGACCAATGAGGAGACTCAAAGTAATGCTCTGTACCCTGTAGTTCTTGCATCTAAACCCCTGAAGTGGGAAGACATGCGCAATGTAGACGACGATAAGGATTCCACCGAGTTCTGCAGAGAAATCTATGGCATAGTCATACTTGAGGGATCATGGAACCCACACCAAAGACAACAGCTTGCTGACAGCGCACTGTTCCAGACTTGGAATGACTTCGTGTGCGGAGTGGATGGAGCGGAACCCTCCCTTTCTCGCGAGTTCTACAAAAGAGTGACTGCCTTCCGATCAAAGCCTGATTTCACAGACAATGAGATGCTGGAGACATGTATGCGAGACGAAGAAAACAATCTTGACCACAGAGTGGAAAAGTTCAAGGAGAGACTCGGTGAAGAGGTCTTTGACCCCATAGAAAGGCAGCTGAGCCAGCTGTCTGAGGATACACATAAAGGTGCAAGGATATCCAGCTGGGGCTACAAAGTTGATTACTGCACTCCCGAAAGACTGGCCTCTATCATTGATGAGTTGGGGACCAGTAGGTCAACAATACCACCTGCAACAGCGCACGAATGAGGGCCTAAACAGGGTAGGGACCTCCCCACAGCTACTGTAGAGTGATCCAGTAGAGGAATGAGATAGAAACCGGAATGCTAGACAGTTTTGTTGAGTCACTTGTCCATGCACTCTGCATACAGTTGGGTCCAAAAAGTCATGCGTCCGCTTTTCATTGTAATCTGGCAGGTGAATCGTGGTACAGTCGGGTGTAAAAATTCATGTCCTTCATGCAATGCGTGTGTTAAGCCTGGTACGTCTCAGAGGGGAGACGGCAGGTGGACAAGTGATGTGAAGAGATGTGTTGATGACAAAGATGATAAGAAAGAGAGAGGAACTCTGATACGCAGGACGAGATGACTTACTGACGATGAGAGAGTCTAATATAATGATGACAAGAGCGTGTTTGACAACTATATTGAGACCCAAGGTGAGGACGAAGATAGGCTTGGGGCCAATATTGAAGACAAGCTTGAAGTCTAGATCAGTATTTGATGACTTGGTCAGTAAAGGTTGAAACGTATGATTATTGATCTCTGAAGAAAAGAAACTATGAAAGAAGTACAAGGGGTTTATATCCTTTTCCAAGTCCATTTTGGGAGGTCCGCCGTCCTGCGTAGGAAAGAGTTGTGTTCCTCGGTTCCTATACTATATTCTACCAAACTACCAAACTGAAAGAACTGCATTCTCGCCGTGATGCTTACAATTTGTTGTACTTTGCATGAAGAGCGTTGAGACGACGGGAAGAAGGTGGGAGTCGTCAAGACGCATACACTTTGCGGTGTGATACGTGTAATACGCCATAAAGAAGGTGTGATTCAATATGGGTGTTAGGATCTGGTCTACCGGATCGTAACAGCGTGCGATGCCACACTGCCTCATTAGACATACTTTGACCCGTGTTTCAACAGCGACCCCTGCAGCTATGGCCTTGAAACTTTGTAAAAACATTCTTGAGCATCTAAACTATGGTTGGGTACCCAATATTCCCCTCACAAAGGGCTACAATTGCTGAAGCGGCTCTCTATGACACTCCCACCAGTGTGGCACTCCGCTTCGGATGCTCCCCTCAATCTGTCACTTGTTTATGCAAGCAACGAGCTGAACAGGGTCACAACCGTACCAAACATCATCCTGGGTGTCCCAAGAAGCTTACTGAACGTGTAGAAACCCAATCCGTCATGCTTCCTCAGAATATTGCCACAAAACCCTCCACCACATCCTCTCCGTCCTTAAAGAAACTGGCATTGATATCTGTCTTTCTACCCTGCGCTATACCATGAAGAAACTTGGTCTCTGACGTTGTATTGCTTGTTCCAAACCACTTTCAACTCCTCTCCATCGTCGCCTACGTAGGGAATGGGCTCTCAAGAACGATAACCTCTACTGGACAAAGGGTTTATACACTGATGAGGCAAAAGTTTGGATAGGGGGTGGGACAATTCAATGGGTGACAAGAATGGATCACGAAGCATTCAGTACCTTGTGTGTCAAGCTTAGAGTAAAGAAGGGACATGGTGTGATGCTTTGGGCAGAAGGCACTCTACAAATGGCTGCAGACAACCTACAGTGCCAGCACCGCAGCAAGGCAGGCGGAGCTATGGAGAGACGCTTGGGGAACAAAGGTAGAGGAGAATGAGGATCCCCAGACCAGTCTGGGGGCTATCCGAGCCAAGCTGGGTGAAGTATCGGCTTCAGCTGTGGCCAGCAAGATGTCCTTAGGCAATTTCATCGACAATATGACCGCCTATGCCATGCTTGCCTCCCTACCACCCTCTACGGCATGCTCGCCTCCACCCTCCTCTCCACAACCACTTCTACCTCCATCACATCAGACCAGGTCCTATCGGCAGCCGGATTGAATACCAACGTAGGAACATGCAGGGAGAGGAGGTGAATAGACAAGGCTTCCTGGCAAGAAAGATCGAGAAGATTACACAGCCCAAGGGGCAGAATCAAGGGCAGAGAAGGCTGGGCAAGGATGGCAAGCCACTGCTTGGGAAAGATGAGACTAAGTGGTGTGAGGAACACAAGCGGTATGGGCACGACCTTAGTGGCTGCTACCCACGAATGGAGCAGATAATAGTTGGAAAACAGAGCAATGGAGGGAGAGCACCAGGTGGCAAGGTGGCAATGACTGCAGGAGAGGAGAAGGAGATTGATGAGGACGCCTACATGGCTCTCGCTTCGACCATTACCTCTGGCAACCCCCACAAGATCATCATCCACTCAGCCTCCTCAGACCACTACATATGCGACAGGACCCTGCTCCACAACCTCTCTCCTCTTGCCAAACCGCTCAACATCAAGGTTGGCAATGGCCAAATCATCACATCCACTCAGTCTGGCACGCTCTACATTGGTAAGGTTGCCTTTAGCAATGCCTACTATGTTCCCTCAATGATTCACAACCTCCTGGCGGTTAAGCGACTCGGCAATACCTCTGATCATCGTTGGACCTTCACCAACACCAAGGCTTGGCTCAGCGACAAGTCTGGGCGTCATCTGATTGAGGGGGAGCTCACCAATGGCCTCTATGTGGTGCGTTCCTTTTATATTGCCATGTCAGCAACCACTGATTGGCCTTCTTGGCACTGCAGGCTTGGGCACATCAGTAACACCATTATCAACGCTTTAGGACGGTCTGGGAGGCTTGGCAAGGACTGGAAAGAGGATGAGGTACATGCACAGTGTTCTGCTTGTATTCAAGGCAAGGGGACCCGTCTACCTTCGCGCCCTAACATCAACCAAGCATGTAATCCGGCAGACAAGGTCTCAGCCGATCTCTGGTGACCAGCTTCAATTCCTAGCATTGGTGGATCACTCTACTTCCTCACTTGCTAAGACGATCACTCTCGATATGTCTACATCAAAGCACTCAAGCACAAATCGGACACCTCAGCCGCCCTATAATACTTCATTAATCTTGCAGAGACCTGTTAGGTGACGGACGGAAGACGTGACGCTCCGGAGCAGCACGGGGGTACCCGTGACAGACGGAAGACATGACACATGGAAGAAACTTCCCTCCTCCAACACATTTTTTCTGACACCACGAGTACCCATTCAATCAGATTATACCGCTCAAATACTGCCCCTCTTGACCTTCAAACTGGGTCAGATCCTGACATTACTCCCAGTGTGAGATGGACAAAAGTGAAGCTTTATGGGGCTATAGAGGAATGCATGCATGCTTATTTTTGAGCCCAAGTGGATGAAGCTCTTCTAGCAGCTCTCCTCATATCCTGGACACAGTTTGGTATCATAGAAGTTGATGGGGATCAATGGAGATGATTTCTCCTCACGGTCATGGACAGGAAAGTGTGACGCTTTGAAGTGCTTTGAAGTGTCATGAACGCTACCCATGACACTTCGAAGTTGCACGGATCGAAGTCACGCTAAGCCCCGTGACACTTCGAAGCGTCATGGCTTCTGTCCGTCACCTAACATACCCGTGACGCTTCGATGTGTCACATCTTCCGTACGTCACCTAACATACTCATTCTCCCTCAACATACTGTACATCCATACATATCTGTCCACCAAATAAGACCCGCTTATTTATGATTGAAATTAAAACTCCTGTCTGCCTCAAACACATCACTATCGTATGAGATGTTCTCCTTTCAAGAAATCTCCGCGTCTTCGTAATTGACCACACGATTTCAAACTCCCTCTTTATTTAAGCAGTGCATAGAACCTGTTACAATTGATCTTCATCCGTATATATACTCTGTAGATTTTCATCCTCACTTTCCTCATTATCAGTCATGTCCGTAACCCGTACACCACAAAGCCGAGTACCGACTGCCCCTACTTCAAAAGAGGGCGTTCTCGCTGACCACTTACCTACCGGATTTAGTGACACGAAGTCTGTCACCATGTTTGTCACCCTCAAACCTGGTCCGGAGATCACTAGTTCACTGTTCTCGATAACGGCTGAAGGAGACCATCAGTCGGTCTTTGCTCCGTGGTCCAATCCGAGAAGTGCATACCAACAAGAAGTGTCCAGTGCAGCTCCGTTCATGATTTCAGACTGTGTTGCCCACTTTGTTGGACCATGGAGTAGGACAGACATGGAATCCTACCTGTCTGGTCCGGGAGGGCAGATGATTCTTCGAGGTGTTTATGACCTAGAGGCTGACTCTGAACTCGTTTGTGCCCTTCAGAGACACTGGAAAGCAGTTCAGGATGACAGCATCCCTGGGGAACAAGATTCTCTGATGCAGGAAGTGGTCAGTGGCTATGCCTTTAGTGGTGAGAGTGGTGTTAACCAAGGAGTATTCACACGCCTAGTAGTCGATCCTACTCTTGAAGAATTGCAACATACATTTCTTGAAGACGCCAGCTCATTGGGTCTAGATAAGTCACTTATCCCTGGTGTCTTCATTGTTGACAGTGAAGAGATGAGAAGGATGAAAGAGCGTGTGCATGAGGGAGAGACTCAACTCCGCACCACAAGGTAAACATTCAAGTCTTCATCAACTTACAATGTAGTTGTTACGGGGTAACAACGACTCGAAGTAGATCCATCGAACTCGACGGATGAGGATAGAGAAAGGCGGGATCAGGAGGCAGTGCTGAAATTAGGTAGGGACGGGTTTTCCCTTTTGAGATTTCCCCACTGGGTTTCCTCAAAAGCGGGTTTTCACCTGTCCGAGTATGTACATAGACGCTTGCAGTAGGAGGAACAAGGACGCGGAGACTGGTAGATAGTATATAGTACAATCAGCGCTGATTCTTCAATATCATTCTTTGGCTACATCGATTGCAGAGGAGACATGATCCATCACATAGCACCAGATATACATAGACTTCTACGAGAGTTCCATCGAGTTTGACCCAACCTGCGACTTAGTCATCGTGTTTCCAGTACCGTTACATGAGGGGTGGTGTGGATTGGTGTAGTTGAAATCTTCCACTGGTCATGGCTCAAATGTTCATGCCACATTGAAGCAGCACAAATCTTCAGTCTGTCACAACCTCCCCTGTGCACCTTTGAAGGGTCACGGTCTTCCGTCCGTCACCTAACAGTTACAGTTATATTTTGTCGATAATGATTGCTGAGAGCGGTAGTGAGCGGTGATCAGGCCTGGCAGTTCTGAGCTCTGTAGAAAGCACTGAAGAACTACCAGGGAGGAAACAATTTGGTAGTATGAGTCGCGTATTAAGATGATGTGTTTGTTAGGTGACGGAAGGAAGCCGTGACCTTTCGGAGCGTCATGGGGGATAGTGTCACTGTCAGAAGATCTGTGCCACTTTCGAAGGGTCATGGTCCTGTGACCATGACCCACAGAAGAACTGCTCCTCACCGATTACCACTGCTTCAAACAATCATCCCCTCCTAGACAGATGTTGGTAGTAGTGAGAAGGTCTGAGAGGAATTTTTTCACTTGATTCTCTCCATGCATGATATGGAAAAAGCAGACAATGATCTTTGGAAAAACACCAAATATGAGGAGAAACATGCATCTCCAGCGTGTATCTCTAGCTGAACATTGTAGAGTGAGATATCAACTACCTAGTCTAGTCATGTATTAGAACTGTGTCAGGAAAGATTCTAGTAAAGTTGGTTTGATTTCTTTGGTAGGTCATGATCTTCTGACAGTCATGATGACCCCCGTGACACTCCGAAGTATCACGGATTCCGTGGGTCACTTAACATGTATTTCAACATGTCTTACCAGGCAAAACACCCGTCGGATCGGCGGGTTTCCCTCGACACCCTCTAACACGCTCTCCCCTCTTGGTCCGCCCCAACTAGGAAAGATGGATTTCAGTGAACAGAGAGCTGTCGTTGCTGGCTCCCGTGTGAGCCGGTAGCTCGGTCGAGCGTATGGATTCAAGTTGAGACCTGCTAGAAGCACATTTTTCCTGTCGGCTCGCCAGATCCGATCCCCTCGGATGTGTTCGCGTACCGACTGAGTCAAACGCCGGCGGGAAAGCATAGCCTTCCTGCCTCCTCTGCCCTCCATTGTCCTGCTTATTCCTCTAGCCACATCCCCAGGTTGAATGATAGTATATATGAGTCTCTTTCCCTGTGTTAGATACCCCACAACTTCTTCCACTCTTTCGTACTCGATCGTCATACACAATGCCGTTCGACCCTTCCTCTTTACTCGAAGAATTATCCACGGGTGACTTCATGTATTTCGCACATCATGTAGTATCGACTGTTGCGCAAGATAAGACTGCTACGGCCCAGGCTTTGGATGATGGAGTGAATCATACCGGACCCCAAGATGAGCATGATTGGGAACAAGACGCCACACGCAGGGGAAATCCGACTTTAGACAGTCGTTCCGTATACAATCAAGACCAAACTGCCTCCCCAGATACTGATGACATTGTTGAAGCTCATCTCATGGCATTTTCAAAGAAAATTGAAGACACATTGATTTGGGTATTTCTAAGCATTACTTCCAAGGCAGGCACTTCCGCCTACTTGGAAACCACAGTAGTCAAAAACCGACCAGTCGACCATGTGGATATTCGTTCCTCTACAGACAATCAACCGGGGGTGACAGAGTGACCATTCGGAACCTCAAGAAGAGCCCAGGATCTCAGTGTGTATTGTAACTCAGTGACGGGAGGGGTGGACACATGAGTGAGAGGAAGTTCTGTACGGGGTTAAATTCATAATGATTGGGCCAATCATCATCATCCATTTGAAGGCTCACCCTTCAGTTGGTATGTTCAATCAGGTCAAATGGCTCACTGACACGTTGCATACATGTAATATCTGTAGTATCATACTCGAGTACAGTGCCACCCTGCTGGTCATGCACTTACATATATCGTGGTGAGGTGTGATTGCGGCTTCAGCTACAGACCTGTTCGGGGCCTCTTAGCTTAGCAGCCCACTTGGTGGAGGAGCGGCGGGAATCGCTCCGAAAAGAACGCCCACATCCACCCAGTGATATAGGTTTGACAAAATATCTGGAACAATGGCGAGAGAATGAACTGAAAAACGAGGAGGACTGCCCCAAATCGCTATATTGCAGAGGGGAGATCAGTACCCAAGATGATCTCGACCGGTAGCTCTTTCAACATGTGGATGGCGCCTTCCCAAGCGGTAGGACTATGAGGGGTCACGTCCGGACTGACCATCTACCAGGGATTCTTTTTTGTCTCTATCGCTGACCATGTCTCGCCGGCCATCAGCCGCGGGGAGAGACTCGTCGAGTGGCTTCTACTTTTTCCTCATATTGTCCTTGACCCGGCTGCATATGAAAGGTGATCATGGTGACCTCATACATAATCAAAAGGAAGTTTGTAGCTTTCCTCGTTCCTATCATCTTCCCCAGATCCACTGACCTTCTCCATTCCCTTGCCCAGTTTATTTTGTTGAACAAGGTGAAGGGATCTTGGCGTGAGGCCTGAATGCATTTTCAGCCCGAGAACGTAAAAAGCGTCCTGCTAGTCTCTCAAGAGTTGACCGTCTTCAATTTCGTTTTCATAACCCATTGGGAATGTCGGAATGCTTACACAGGTAGCGCGCACGGTTCTCTTGCCTGTCAACATCACCTCGACGAAGAAACTTGACGCCGAATCGAACTTACCCTAGATGATTATTCTTCCCCCCATCTTGGTAGCCATAAGCCCCGAAAGCTTCCTCCGTGCTGGTCGGAGACGTCATGTCAGCGTGGGAAGCGTAAAAAAAGCTATGTTTCAGTGTGGACCAGTGGGGGGGGGGGGGAAGGAAGGGAGCGGGACTTGCCCAAACGGGAATCTGAGAAGATTTCACACGTCTTGATCCGCATAGCCCCACAGACTTCAATCCGTATAGCCTCATGATTCCCACACTCTCACTGATCCTTTATCATTCAGAGGGAAGAACTTTTAGAGGGCTGAGTTTGTCTGGAAAGCTTGTTTTCTACGTTACAGTCGGGTGTAAAAAGTCATGTCCTCCGCGCCACCATTTTCATCTGTGCTACATAACCCCTTCCATCTCTTTAACCTCATTACTCCTTCATCGAAACAGCTAGAAACCTGAACCTTGGTCAGAACATGCATATGTGTATTGTAAAGAGACTCACCAAGTTACTCATGCATCCGGCTAGTACTTAGTACTCCACCCCTTCATCTTATAAACACTCTTCCTTCTCCTCTCCATACTCATGATTGTGGCATCAATGTTTTCCTGGGGTATTTCCTTCCACAATCGGCTAGCGACCTCAAAGAGGTCATCTACATTTGTGGGACGGTCAGGAAGCATAGCTAGCTTCTTTTTGAGCATTGCCCAGCAATTTTCGATGGGATTTAGATCAGGAGAACAAGGAGGGTGGGAAATGAAGTGGAATCCATACTTCTTGAATGCTGCTCAATTTTCCGGGGTCCAGTGGAGCTTTACATTGTCCTGTAGAATGAAGGGAGTCCCATAACCACGCCATTGTTGAACTAGCTTCCTCCAAGCAGCAAGTAGAGGTTTTTTCACGATCTGTTCAAGATAGATGTTCCCTTTCATTCCTTTCCTCTTCGATTTGCTCTTAGATGTGTCAACTCTGATCAATTCTGTCCTTCCTCCATGACAAATACCGGCCCAAAGCATCACCCCATGTCCCTTCTTTACTCTAGGCTTGACACACAAGGTACTGAATGCTTCGTGATCCATTCTTGTCACCCATTGGATTGTCCCACCCCCTATCCAAACTTTTGCCTCATCAGTGTATAAACCCTGTGTCCAGTCGAGGTTTTTGTTCTTGAGAGCCCATTCCCTACGTAGGCGTCGATGGAGAGGAGTCAAAAGTGGTTTGGAACGAGCAACACGACGTCGGAGACCAAATTTGTTCATGGTAGAGCGCAGGGTAGAAAGACAGATATCAATGCCGGTTTCTTTAAGGAGGGAGAGGATGTGGCGGAGGGTCTTGTGGCGATATCTTAGGAAAGCATGACGAATCTGGGTTTCTTCGCGTTCAGTAAGCTTCTTGGGACGCCCAGGACGATGTTTGGTACGGTTGTGACCCTATTCAGCTCGTTGCTTTTGTAAACGAGTGACAGTTCGAGGGGAGCATCCGAAGCGGAGTGCCACATTGGTATGAGTGTCATAGAGCGCCGCTTCGGCAATTGTAGCCCTTTTTGAGGGGGATATTGGGGACCCAACCATAGTTTAGATGCTGGAGAATGCTTTTACAAAGTTTTGAGGCCATAGCTGCAGGGGCGGCTGATGAAACACAGGTCAAAGTATGTCTAATGAGGCAGTGTGGCATCGCACGGATTGCATGGAGGACATGACTTTTTACACCCGACTGTATAAAGCATGGGAGGAGGAGTTGGAACAAGCTCAACATCAATTTACTCAATCTTTCCAAGATGCCAACAGTGTTTGATGAGGACATTGGTTTTAACTCTGCGCCTTATGTAAACTCTGCGCCTGATGTCAACTCTGCGCCTGATGTAAGTCCTTTACTCAATGTGTCCAAAGAACACCACCGGCAAGAGCCATCAAGCAAGAGTGGCACCTCCGACGAGTCTGAGCCACCTGTTGTCACCATCTATGTAGCTATGACTGTGGATGACAGGGAGGGTCCTCTGAACTCGAGTGTTTGAGCAAGGCTGGTGTGTGATGATTCTGTCTGGGACCACGAGATCATGAGGATTCAAGATGGTACAAGCACTTTGGCCAAGATAGTCCAGGAGTTTAGTGAGGTTGCCAGTGGGGACACATCACCAGCTCAGTGGGTACTCAATCAAGCAGAAACTAAATGCCAAGGACACTGGAGCCACCCCACGGTGACCGAGGATGAGGATACTGGGCCCTGGACGACCCCCCGTCCCAAAAAGCTTCAACTGGTAGGTGCAGGACTCCAGAGGTACATTAGACAGTCAATTGATCAATTAGAACAAGGGGATTATAACACTCTCATCACTTATGGTCCAGTCAAACCGTCCGTCTGTATCTCCACCTATGAGCGGCACTGGTATGGGTATTGCCATGAGGGGCCCGACAAGCTCGATATCAGACACGGTGATCATTTCAGACATTACACTGGTGGTGGCTCCCTGTCACAACAGAGCATAAACTGGGCAAAGAGCCTGCCAAATTTCCCTGACCCCAAGTCTAAGACACCTACTGTAAGTTGATGGGAGTATAGGCCGTTACACATACCTGCCTGGTCAGCCGGCGTGAATAGACGACAGTGATAGTAGCATGGAATGTTGATGAGATGGAAGTGAAGTGTGCTGGTCACAGGATATGATCTGAAACACATCAGGAATTCTGATAGATGTGAGCACAGCAGATTGCCGCACGAGGGGTCAACCACTCGATTGATCGGATTGGGCGGGACTATTAAGTGAATGAAAGACAGAGCTTGATCAACCTGAGATTGTCAAGGGGAAGATATAGTCTACTTCATTTGCACTGTGTGAACCTACCCGGGTTGGTCATTCTGCTAAAGCCTGCTTGAGTCCTGGCACCTGATCAGCATCCTCAACCCTCAAACCCCCATCACTCTGTCTGGCGGAAAGGGGACAAACACTCATTTCCGTCCATCCCTCCCAAATATCTTCCACCCGTCCGATCACTTCAGGATGATCAAGAACCAGTAACACGATAGCGTCGTACCCTCCAGCTGAGAGTTAGTGACGTACTAAGAAAAGTGTTGAATGACTCACCACCCGGCACTCCACCCCCTAGTACACCTGGAGAAGCTGAACACATATCTAAGAGTCTTGTTTGTTCAGGAGGTTCGATGGGTACTCCGCTCTTTTGTGACATTTCCCGCATGAGCGATCTGATTTCCTTTTTGTCAGCTCGAAGGGCTGTAACGAAATGGAAAGGACTTACAGAAAGTGTACTAGCAGTTTCAAAGAGAAGATCTTGGATCAGCTGTCTCACGTCCCGCTGCTTCATCGTAGACCCCTCCCGTTCATGTCTGTTTGAGGAAAGAATGGCTTCCTTGTGCTCCTCCATCTTCGTATTTGTACTATAATGCTGAAAGACGAGCTTGTAGTCGATCAAAACAACATCTTTCATGGCCAGTAAGACCTCCTTGTACACTTCCTCATCCTCCATCCCGATCAGCCGCGCCAGCATCCCCTCTAGTCGTGTGTTTGTATCACTCAGCCTGGTCCAAAGCTCTTTGGCTTCTTCAGCCTTATCCGTCCTCCATTGTAATACCTTGCCCACAAAACTAGGCGTGTCCGTTCCCGCGTCCACATCTGCGAGCAACATCCTGATTCCTTTCGGTAAGCGAGCCGCTTGAACCTTCTGATCCCAATTTTTGGGGTCAAGATGCGCCATCAGATCCGGTCCGGGAGGTGGAAGGTCGGACATGAGAGGCTTGAGAAGAGAAGGCGAGAATCGAGTGTAGATGTGAGATCCGTAGATTGCGGAAGAGACGTCAAACCCGCTCCCAACCTTCCCTTGAGCGAGACAGTGACAGAATTGAGCGAGGGAATGGATTGTGTCAAGGGCTGGTGTACCTTGTAGATTTCCAATCTTCTCAGGGTTGAACGAGGAGGATTTTAAAGAGTCAAGGGATGCGTCATGAGATTGGAGGACCGTCTCGTGGGAAGGTACATTTTTGGAAGTACTTGGCAATGTTTCTAGAGTGGACGAAAGGGAGGGGTCGTGGAGGGTATGGACAGCGGCATGCATCGATTCGGCTTCATCGGAGGAAGGTAGGGAGACGATGTCGAGGTGCAGGAGAAGGGCACCTATGAGGGATGTGACGAGAGCAGCTGAGGAACCGAGGCCGGTCTTATTCGTCTGACCAATAGGGCGTGGGAGAGGAGAGAAAGGTGGAAGAGAGTCAAGGGAGGAGAGACGGGGTGGGAGGGACGCGGATGTGAGCTGTCAGTCAGTTCAAATGTCTCCGACTCTGCTCGAATTGTAGGAACCAAGCCACTCGATTCACTGAATTGTGGGACGAGCATATACAAATGAGTGATAAAAGGAGTGAAAAGAGCACCTTGTAGAAGACAAATCGGAAGTCATGTATTATAAAGAAGTAACAGACAGAGGGGCGACCCACCTGTTCTCGCTGGGAATAGAAATCATTATCCGCTAAAACGACTACTTCTAACCCTTTCCCGATCTTATTTAACACGCTCTTCCCTCCGTCCTCGGTACCCCGTGACAGCCATTGGATAGAATACTCCAGCGTCTTAGTCACTGCGACCTCGACAAACTTGTTCCGTCCAGCTTCTCCCATGACAGGCTTCACCTTGACTCCCGAGGGGGTGAGGATGATATCGTACGACCATGCTGAAGCTTCTGGAGGGAATTGACCAGCTCTAACGGTAATTCTTGACGCCACTGCATATTGGCTTTGGTCGCCTGTCGTGACTTTTGGGAAGACAGAAGAATAGAATCGAGAAGATGTTGCGATGACCAGGCCGGAGTAAAGTCGGTCGAGAACTAAGTATCCCCCAGCGAGCAGCACCTTACCAGGGGCTGAAACGACCGTGGTGTTGCTCGTGAACTTGGACATGGCCTTCAGACGGGTGAGCCCGTCGCTTTCAACGTTGACCACAAAAGATGTATTGACCTGAATGTATGGGGCAGCCCACGAGTGACAAGTGCGAACATACGAGGACAGTTGAGCTACCAGTGGAATGGAAAGTTTCCGACGGAAATTGGCAAGTCGAACGTGGCACCCGGCTCAATGTGGCAATTTGGTCGATCATAGCAACTGCACCTTGACCGCCACTCTCACGATCATCGCTGACTCTTCGACTCATCGAATGCATCACTCATCGGATTCCTCATATCAGCGCAACTGGAAGTAGGATTTCTGCCCCTTTGGGCCAAGTGAGTGGTAAGTATTGACTGCTATCAATCTTAGTCCCTACTCACCCATGCGCGGCCGCCCATCGAGGGCAGACGGACGGTTCGTACGGTTCATACGGCTGTCTACTGTTGCCGGATTTGCGATCTTATTATTTATTCTGTCGTCCCACTGCTTCTGTGTTTCTGATTTGAACTCTACTTGGTCATAATGAGGGAAGTCTCTTGAAATCGAGTCTTCAATTTGGGCACACAATGCCCCCAAAGGAGATCGTACAAGATACTCACCTTTGTTTGTCTGGAAGCGATCTAGCTCAACAGGATTGAAGCTTTTCAGACTTGTACTAATTTTACTTCCAGTATCTGCCATCGCTTTGTCGAGATCCACACCAGAGGTCAGGTATTTAGTTAGGGCAGTTTCCTGCTCGGTGCTCAGAGGACCCATGATGTCATGTTTCATGGATAGGTTGAGATGGTAGTCTCCATTGGTGTTGACCACTTCGACTGCTGCGCACAACCATATCGTAGTGGGGTTGGCGCTTGTATTGGTTCTTACAAGCTCTGTAGGGGCGCCATAGGTCCATGGTGCTGAGTGCAACTTGTCGATCTCCTTGGGTTCTAGTGTTCTGCTAGCTTCAGGGGTATGATGATCAAACTCAGCCATTGTATTGTGTATGTGATGACAGACTATGATCAAGGAGTAGGAGATATAACTGTGTGACAATGGTGATGAACACTTGTTCAAGAAACTAGAGGGGTAGGATGGGTATCTATACCCTGAGGGAGGGATGAGATTAGAAGTCTGGCCTGGGAAAGTGCTGCAGCACTGCATTTTTTCACCTTTGATCATCACTTACGTCACTTCATCACAGATATTGTCACGTCATCGTCTATTTTGTCACCTCGTCATCGATTACGTCACGGGAAATATGCTTGACTTACGTGGGAGACACTTTGGCTCTTGAAACTGAGTCTTGGCCCTACTGGCCCTTCCCTTCTTTCCCGACCCTCTAATCCTGTGAGAGACAAGAAATATGGGTCTAGCAGGGTAGTGATTTGCCTTCACTCCCTCTGACCAGGTTGACTGCCATGGACTTGATCTGAGTCGGTGCGTAAGATCAAACCAGATTGAACAACGTCAGAGTTTGGATGGTATGAACCGCCAGAAGATTGATCAACATAGTCATTTGAACAAAAAACAATGCTAAGTTGAGGCGGTGCTCACGCCATGTACATGGACCTGGCTATTAGCTACCTCACATATTGTACTAATAATCATGTGGGGCCTCTCCAACGGAACAGAGAACGTTGAAGGGGATCAGACTAGAACGGTTCAAGTAAGTTCCTGTAGCCGGAATCTGCCTACCATTCACAACTTCCATGTCTGACGGTAGAGCACCTAGGTTCTCATTGTGCCGTTGATAAATCTCTTTTGTCTTGATAGATGGGCTGCTATCTTGATGGGTCATACATATTCCTCCATTTATCTTGCTTCTGCCTCTCATCACCCATGTCACGGGTGTTCTTCCTTGGCAGGGAAGGTGTGCATTGTCATAAAGGCTTTGGTGAGTGAAGGAAGACCATAACCGGGTAGATGAACAGTCACAAGGGATATCTAAGCTTATCAGCCGGTGGCGTGGTCGGAAGGGGGGTTTGAGGTCATGGGTCCGGATACATCATTTCGAACCACTCGAAATCATGCTTTCTTTTCCCTCCAATACTGCGACCTTTAGGTTTGTCAAACTCAACATCAGCCTGATAGGTTACGTTCTTTCAGTCCCTAGAACTCTGGCTATCTCTCATGATGGCTCTTTATTGCTTTTATCATATCTAAGAGTAACCAGATTTCTCACACGGCTATTTAGCGATCATCTTCCACAAGTTTATTTTATTTGCATGGAGACATTATTGGACTACTTACTGTCAACTAATGAAACCTCCAAGTTGTACCAAGAGCACGATGAACAATCCACGGACGCCTGACGCCTCAAATCACCTCACATATACTCTCGTGACACAACAGGACTATGAAGAACCTATGTGTGCGCTCATACTGGGAAGTTACCAGGCATCGATGCTGCTACATCAAGCAGAGCAAAGATACTCTCATTTCTGGATGCACAGAGCCATTAAGCACTGGGAACCTCTACTTGTACAGAAGAGACTGTTTGACTGGCCAAAACCGACAGTACAGGTGAACATGACTTTGGACCAATGATGCTGAAACAGGACCACATCTCCCACTCATCACATCTTTGATTCATCACGGAGACCCCCATGACACGTCAAAGTTTCACCGCTTCTGTCGGTCACTCAAAACATCCGCTTGTGGTACATAAATATAAGCCGGACCAAGCTAGAAAATGTGTTGTGCATTGTCAACCTTCACCATCCATCCTCCTCTCCCTACCATAATTGACTAAAGAATGTCTGGGCAATCATCAAGCGACGACGTCATTAGCGACTGACCCTTTTTACCCATCAAGAACAATCGTGAAATGCAAATCAAGCAGAGTGGGATCACAATGTAGAGACACTCAATCAGACTATTAAATCGGTCCCTGCTAGGTGCCGTAAGGAAGATGTGAGATGTGCCACTTTGAAGTGTCATGGGTGTACCCGTGCCAGACCAAAGATGTTGGTTGGTGAGACGAGAGAGGATGCATAAAAGAGAGAGAGATGTCCCGAGTTTGATCTTGCGGAGTTTCTCGGTAATCTACATACGACTTGTGGTGGTGGTATGATCAACAAAAGATGTGACCCAAAGAAGAAAGACCAATTCATCAGAAACACTTGCAGGTCCAAAACAACTTTACAGCTGCAACAATACAGGATTCATCTGTTGTGTGTTCAAAAGGGAACTGAGTAGCCTATCAGATGCTGGAACTTTGCACTGCCCAAGATGAAGGTTCCTGCATCTTCTTCCTCTTATGCACATATTTACCAGATCTCATGCTGTAGTCTCCTTGCACTCACTTTCAAGTTGTCACGCCTGCGGGTCGACTGCGGTAGCAAAGGACTGCCTTGGGAACTGAGGGGTTTAGTCTCTGGCTTGTGGACCTTGGTGACTGCCTTAGGTACTGAGTGTTCAAGATTGTCACAGGGTTGGTTCTTCGTTAACTTCCTAGGACTGACGGCCAATAACTTCGTGGGCTCCGACCTTTAACTACATTGTTGTTCGAAATATGAAATAGGTGACAATAACTTCTGGGTGTAATAACTTCGTACCTTACTAACTTCTATCACTAAGACAACAACCAGAGATCGTCAAAGATCTCTGGGAACTTCGGCCCTCAAGTACTTTGTCCTTCCCTAACTTCTTCAACGCAGAACTTCGTTCAACCCAAAGTCCCGAGCTTCGTACCTCACGAACTTCGTCCCCGACGAAGTTCGTGCCTCCCTAACTTCATACCTCCCTAACTTTGTATCTCCCTAACTTTGTATCTTCCAAACTTTGTATCTCCCTAACTTCCTACATGACTAACTTCGTATCTCCTCAACTTCCTACATGACTAACTTTGCCCTCGACAAAGTTAGCCTCCTAATACCCTCGTGGGTGATGAAGTTCATGAGAACTGGGTCGTTGATGGCAAACTGATGTCCAAAGGAACCTCGTTTGATGGGAAAAGGATGATGTCACGCGGCACCGCGTGACAAGGAGGTCGGGTTAGAACCAACTGAGTGACTTATCAAACGAGGGGAAGGGGATTGAAAAGATACATTGCTGAAGAAGAAAACTACAGCACTAGATAGGGTTTAAATACTAAAATCAGCCTTTTCCAAGAGGCTTGTGCAGACCTGCGGAATACGAGCGCTCTGAACCGTCCTGCACTGTCCTGCATGCATTGCCATGCATCCCACCGATTACCACTGATATCCTACAATGCCATATCTGCGTTTACCTAGGTCCCACTACAATATCCTACGTGATGTGTTGGAAGTTGGTGACTTTGTCTAAGGTGGTCGATGGTGAACTATGAGGACCCATGCAGAACATAGAAGAGCTGTGAGAACAAGAGATGAAGAGATTATGCCTTACAAGGCCTCAGAACAGAGGAAAGAGAAACTAGAGAAGTACTTGGGGCTTATGCCTGCCAGGCACGAGAGCACAGGAAAGAGAGTCTTGGGGTTGATGCCTGATAGGCTTGAGAGCAGAGGGAAGATAGACTTGGAGTTTATGCCTGATAGCCTTGAGAGCAGAGGAAGATATGAGACTGGAGGTTTGAACTCGTCATTATGACAAGTCATTATTTGATATTCTCATTCATGACACAAGTGTCATGAGCGCCATCTTACCGTCAGTCTTGCCCAGTGATGTTTGAGAAACTTCAGATCTTCTGAGCTGCTTGATCCAGAAGACACATGTGACTCTTTGGGGAGTCATGGTTTCCACCTGTGCAGTTTTGAATTGGCACAGATATTCAATCTGGCACTTAAAGGGGTCTCAGGACCGGTACAGCTCTAAAAGGCATATCTCCTGTACAGCACCTAACACATGTGATTATGTGATCTAGCAGTTGGTCTCTCTGTCAATAACCACTAACTCTTATGTTGCTGCCACCAAAGTCATAACAGATCCCATCCGACATATACTCATCACTAAACATTCTGCCAGCTTGGGTGTTGAACTGTGTTGGTGTCAGTTGGTGAAGATCTCTTGGGTACTGTTCACCTGTCCCCTTAGACATGACAAAAGCATGAATGGTAATTGCAACTTCTCTCCTGTTAGCCATGATGGTATGTGTAATAACAGTGTCAAAGATTGTTCCTACAATTTGCTGAATCTCTGTCTGGGTAAGTGTTGGTCTGTGTTTAAGATAGGATTTCAATGTTCTTTGGAGGTCTTTACCTGACTGGCTATACATGTCGGAAATGCTGATTGAAACTTGTCCATGACTCCGCTGATTACAAGTTTCATCCTACCCATTGTACCTGGTTGCTGTGTTCCCCCTTGATAGTCCTCTAGGTCTGTTGTTATCCACTTACCTCCAAGTTGGTATCCAAGTAGGATGGTCACTGTGGGCTGGATGGTGTACAGCTCCAGGGGATACTTCTTCTCATCTCCTTCTGCTTTCACCAAGCTTGCAGTGTGAGTCTGACTAGGCTCAACAAGGGAGACTAAGGACAGCATGGAGCTGTGACACCTTTCCTCGTGATTCTTGCCAGTGTCAGTCTGCACAGTGTTCTCTCTGTCTAACTCGTGAAGTTTGAAGTCAACTGCCATGACAATCAGAGATGGTGGATCTATTTCCTTACTCCACTGGGAAAGCGTGTTTGATTTTGGTGTCAGAATCAACCCACAGGAATTGAGATTGAGCATCAAAGAGTTTTTAAGGTTGCGATGAAAGTATCGTGTTTGGGTGGCAAAGCTGATTGGTCAAGAAGTAATGTGGGAATTTGCTGTCACAAATGTGTTGAACCCTCTCTATAGACAGCTCAGGGGAAGGCCAGAAGTGTGACTAAGCTCCCCATCACTCGTTCCTTTCAATGACATCATCAGACTGCTCAATGGATCTCTTCAAGCTATCTATGCACATATTTCTCCCTCTCTATTCGGCCGGACCTTCTATCGTCTTCTCTTGCTTGACGAGGGTGTGGATCTGTCAGGATCACGGGTATCGACTGGTTCCTCAAGAGTTGTGCACAGAAGTCGTACTCCATCTACCCGTTCCCATCTCCGCTTCACTAATCCCGCTACGGCATCCTCCGTTCTCCTGTCCTACCTGATTGCTAGTTCTTTACCATGCTATACTTTTCCTTCATCTCCGTGTCCCTCATCTATCTCCGTCTTCCTTCGCTCTTACACCCCATGTCGCTTTCCACATTTACTCCATAGATTTCGGTATCACTCCGCTCCCTTTTTAGTATATAGAAACACCCCTTTTTTGTAGATGTCTTGTCGAATATATTTTCTCGTCATTTAGCAAATCCTTTGCCACTTGATCTCATCGACTTATAGTCTCTTCAATCCACTACATCACTAGATGTCACAATCGTCGTTTCTTCTCTTCTACAGACCGACGGTCGACAAACCGCGGCTAACTGCGTCGTAGTGGGGCGTCGATGTCTCACTAGGACAGGGTACTCGTCGGGGAACTACGGCTAACTCTGCCGTAGTGCGTCGAACTGCTCGGTGGTAGCTCTCCTTAACTCGATGGTTGTAGCTACTAAATGTATCGCTCGCTACTGACAACAATCAAGGATCGCTGAAGAAGTTCAGCAACCTGTAACCTATCTATACTACTCCTCACTTCTCATAGAACGTCCCTCAACTCCTGCACTGCCTCACGCTCAGTCCTCTTCGTTCAACCGCGCCGTACCTCGCCATATCCCCGAGATCCTACTCCACTCACTTTGACTAACTTAGCCTAAATTCCCCTGCTCTGCTCCCCCTTGGTTCCCTTCCCCTAACTTCGCCGTAGTTCTCCGCTAGGCGGGGTTGTCGTGACAAATAATACCCTCTTGGTTCTCATAACTTCGCCGTAGTCTGTCTCAGTGGTTCGAGTGGAGGTTGGTGATGATGAAAGGAAGGTCGGTGATGAGGAAAGGAGGGTCGGTGATGGCGGTTGTCAGGGATGTTACGACGTAGTTCGTGACAGTCCAGTATTTCGATGGATTTCATTGAGGAGCTCCCGAATTCCCATGGATACAGTGCCATCCTAGTAGTGGTGGACCGATTGACCAAATGGGCCATTTTTATCCCGACTACGACGAAGTTAACCGCAGCTGGCCTATCAGAGTTGATAATGGACTACGTGGTAGCTCAGCATGAGCTACCAGAGAACATAGTATCGGACAGGGGATCGAAGTTCACCTCAAAGTTCTGGAAGAACTTGACTGATAGTCTCGGGATAAGACTACACCTCTCTACTGCATACCATCCACAGACTGATGGACAGACCAGAAGAACCAACCAGTCTTTAGAGCTCTATCTTCGAATCTTCACCTCCTATCAGCAGAATGACTGGTCGAAGTTACTCGCTCGAGCTAGCTTTGCTTACAACAACACCCAACATTCTGCGATAAACAAGACACCGTTCTATGCGAACTACGGGGATCACCCACGATGGGCTGAAGAGATCAAGAGCAGTGAGGTCGAAGTGCCTGCTGCCACGGTAGTGGTAAAGGATTTGACCGAGATTCATAAACAATGTATAGAGGGGATCGAAAAGGCTAATGAGAAGTACGCCGAAGGATACAATAGGAAACACTGATCTACGCCGAACTTCGTGGAGGGTGACCTAGTTATGCTATCGTTGGAAAATATTAAGACTAAGAGACCGATGAAGAAATTGGATGTGAAGCAAAGTGGGCCGTACAAGGTAGTACGGCAGGTAGGTTCTCATGCTTGTAAATTGGAGTTACCAGGAACGATGGCAGGTATCCATGATGTATTCCACGTTTCATTGCTTCACCCCTACCATCCTCCAGTATTCCCTGGTCAGCAAGCTGAACCACCTGGCCCGGTAGAGGTAGATAACGAAGGGGAATCGTGGGAGGTAAAAGACATTGTGAACTCTAGGGTAAATAAGAAGTCAGGAAAGTTAGAGTATCTGGTAGAGTGGTTAGGTTACGAAGGGACAGACGATTCAGTATCATGGGAACCTGTAGAGAATGTTGATGGAGCTGATGACATATTGGCGAGGTTCCACAAACTTCATCCTACTAAGCCGAAGGAAGGGCGACTGCGGGGGACTAGGAGGTAGAACGTACTGCATACAACATAGGATTACAGCTACGTACCGCTCACCTATCCTTACCCTTACCCTTTCCTTTTTTTTTCTCCTTTGCTCTACTCGATCCCGCGGGATTGCTGGGGAGACTACCAATGGCGGAGGGAAGATCGAGAGTCTCAGACGGGAACGCAGTAGAGAGAGAAGCATTCCATGCCCGATTCATAGCCGCAAAGCAGTCACCGAAGTCCTGGACATCTCGAGCAGCTTGCATGCTCGGAGTCCTCCACAGAGATCGTATGGTCCGTAGACACTTGAAGGGAAGACCGAGGAGGTCGAGAGCAGTCTGGGCGGAAGCGGGGACACGAGAACTACTACGGCAACCTAACCAGTCGAGGGATGGTGGTGGCTCATACGCCATAGGAGTAACGAGGAAGGGGGTGTCGAAAAGCCTTCGGCGAACATCGGCTATCTCCGTGAGACTTCGACGAGAGACGTCCGCTAACCTCGTCCTTGCTTCCTCGTTCAGAGCTCCAGTGTTGACTACATCTACTAACGCCGCAGTAAGGTTATTTAAAGCGTTAGCTTGACGAGAAGAGAAGTCAAGCAGGAGAGATGTATCATTTCGGGTGGCCTCGAGCTGAGTGGTGAGACCGAGGACGAGAGAACGATAAGTGGTGAATTCCTTTTCATCCTCAGGAATACAAACGTCCAAGGAGATACGAGGATGGACGAAGGACAGCCGGGGAGCAGAGGGACCAGCGCGCTGAGTATTTTCATCTTCCACATCACCATCATCGAAGACGACCTCTTTCTCTTTAGATTTCCCTTTCGATTTCTTTAACGAAGACTTTGGAGTCTTCTTGGACGCGGAGACAGGGGCGGCCACTGGGGTAGCCGGAGGAACAGAAGGACGGCGACTTCGAGTGCCGTGGGCCGGAGGAGAGGTCGCCACGGGAGAGGACAGACGAGGGGCCGAAGGACGAGAGGCCGAAGGGCGGCGAGAGGACGAGGGAGGAGCAGCCGGGAGACGTGATGGGCCGGCCACAGGAACGAAGGGCGACGGCGAAGGAGGTGACAAGCGGGAGGCCGGCGAAGTACGGCGAACCGACCGGAGAGACGAAGGTGGTACCCGCAAACGGGGGACAGACGCTGGAGTCTGGGGAGGGGGGAAAGGCGAAGAGTCGGAGGGACGGGGCGGGATGTCCCGAGCAGAGGAGACGGGACAGAAGGAGCAAGGACCAGATGTGCATGAAGCACAACAGAGGGCTTTGTTGTGTGGCCTGACTGCCTTGAGGCAGGGCCAGTTTGGACGATTATACGTGATAATCTCACGTCTACTAATTAGCAGGGAGAACTTCGGCGTAGTACGAACAGGTGAACTCACCGGCAACGATCGCACACCTCATCGACACTAACCGCAACCCAACGTCCAGGCTCAGACTTCACCTTCCCCCACAAGTACTCTTCTTCCCGCAATGACCTCTTCACCCGTTTGGGCGAAGGCTCCCCTTGGCGAGAAAGGAGGGAAGCAGCGACGACGGCAGCAGCAGGAGAACGGGCGGCGGCAGGACGGGCGGCGATGGCATTGGCGGGGGGGAGGACCCCGGAAGAAGAAGAAGAAGAAGAAGAAGAGGAGGAGGAGGAGGAGAGAGAGCGGGGACGTTTCTGGCCCGCGATTTGGGTGGGGTGGGGGGCTGGAACGGCTACAAGTTAGCAATATTTTGGGAAGCTAAAGAACAGATAAACAAGGCCAAGTTCGGCGAAGGCGTGAGGGGATGGACGAAGGACTCACGCTCAGGACCATCTACCTCGTCGTCCTCTACATCCATCACCTCTCTCACATCATCATCATCCGAAGATTCTTCTAGCTCACTCTCACCCTCATCCACATCCCTAGCCTCCTCATCCTTCTCATCATCACCATCATCACCCTCATCATCATCAGAGTCATTTTCTTCGACGTCGGGTCGACCGCTCGACTCCGAGCCCTCACCGAGCGCGTCTTGATCGGAGGAGGACGGGGACTCACCAGGACGGAAGGTGGGCGTCCTACGGCGACGAAGGGAGGGAGAAGGATACCCTCTGGGAGGAGCAGCAAGGGCGACGGGAGAAGCGGAGCGGGAGGGAGGGGCAGTGACGGACGGCTCCCTCAGAGAGAGAGTACCGGGCCCAAGGGAGGAGACTTGGCGAGATCTGTCGCCGGAGGGAACTGAACGTCAGAAAAGTTCGGCGAGGTAAGCAGGGTAACGAAGAAAACTCACGGGCGGAGGACACAGTGCCACCGAAGTCCCTCATGGCGGCAAAGGCGTTGGAGGTAGGAGTAGGAGGGGCCATGACGTTAAGATACTTAAAGAAATAAGCTAAAGATGGCAGGTCAAGGTAATAAATCTGTTTTCTAGGTAAGAGAGATAGAAAACTTTGAAAACAGATGGGGAAAAGAGAAAACCCGACGAACTGCTCAGTACTTAGTATAATCAGACCAACCCCTTCGTCGTCAACATGCGGCAAACTTCGCGTTCCATCAACAAAAGGCAACACAGGGACGATCAAAATTCCCACGCCTTAGTGTCTCATCTCAATATAAACGAGGGTTACTTCGGCAAACAGCGGTGTTGTTCGGCTACCATTTGGGAAGCGTGTCTCAACTACAAAAGACGCAGGGCCTGTTACGGCAAAACTCGACGAAGTTAGGGGAATCTCACTGTCGGGGTTCAGAGCAAAAGGAGGGTTTAACTACGAAGTGCGGCGAAGAAAGCAGAAGTTCGAAGGGTGATTGTAGGGGACAGAGAATGAGAAGTACTGCGCCGCTGAGTTTTTCTTGCCACAGTAGAGGTGTAATCGCTCACGAGGACGCTCGCGGCTAAGAAGGGGGCGACTGTCACGAACTATGTCGCGACACCTCAATTATTCCACCAACAATGACCCTCCTTTGACCATCAAAACCCCTATCACGTCTTAACCTCTCCACCTTACACGTAACTCAGGACATCCGAGACCAACCACAGCGAAGTACGGTGAAGTTAGACGGAGTTAGGCTAAGTAGGGACAAAGGAAGCAGAAGTGCGGCGATGTTAGGCGGAGTTAGGTGAACTAGGGACAAAGGAAACAGAAGTGCGGCGATGTCAGGCGGACTTAGTCGAAGGGAGGAGGGAGACGGCCGAGGGCTCGGAGAAGTTGGACAAAGTGCGTTGAAGTACGTCTAAGCGCGGGAGGGTTGGGTGAAGATCTAGGAGGAGGAAGTAATATTAGCTGAGAAGATCGCTGAAGTTCTTCAGCGATCCTTGATTGTTGTCAGTAGTAAAAGACATAGAGATAGAGATATACAATCGAGATACACCGCCATCAGTAGAACAAAACCCCAGTTAGAGTAACTACGCCAAAGTACGCCGTAGTTACACTCCTTTCGAAGTCTGCGCCCTCCTGGTTGGGTGAGACATCAACTCAGAAGCGTCAAGTTAGCCGAGGTTCGTCGACCGTCGGTCTGCTGGAAGATAGTTGTTCGACAGCCTTGACAAGGTACTTGACAAAGTGATTGTATATCGTGAGGTACTCGGGAAGAGGTCTTTTGGATAGGTCGGGTTGAACAGCAAGAAGCGGTGTTTTGTGTAAGTGAGAGATCATGAAAAAGAGTTTCTTGGTGCTGTCGGGACAAAGATGGGACTTCAATTCAAAGTGTAGTTTGCATTCAGAGAGAAAGGTGGTAAATGTGTTCCGGTCTCCCCTCCAGAGGTCGGGGTTAGGTAGCTTTATCCCTTTCCGCTTGCCAGTTACGCTTGTGGTCGCCGAAGTTTGCCGTCCCATGGTGTACCTCACCCCTTCTGATATTCCTTCTGCAATTCCCCCTACTGTTTCTCTCTCTCTCCTCAGCTCCCACTCCTCCCTACGCCTCCTTTCTTCCATCATGTCTCTGCGACAAGGCCAACATCATCCCCTGTGTTCCTTCTTCTCCGATGTTCGTCCCAGTGTTTTCTCTCAGACATGGGTTCGATCTGATTCAGTTGGAGAGCCCACTGGTGGGATAATATCAGATGGAGGGGTAGGAGGGTTAGAAGGTGCAGCTGGGACAAACTCATCTGCTTGTACTGACCCTCCCATGTCATCCCCTACCCCAAGCTGCTGTTCCATAGCTCTGCTAAGCTCCTCCAACACTCTCCTCTCATTCTCCTCCATTGTTTCTCTTTCTCTACTCATGCCTTGCGTAATTCGCCTCTCTGGTTCCGTATATTCTTTGCACTTCTCCGAGTTTTGAGCTGATCATCGGTAAAAGCGATCCTTGATACTGTCACAGCCGTCAAATAATTTCTCTCTAACGGACCGACGGTCGACAAACCTTGGCTAACTTGACACTTCAGAGTCAATGTCTCACCCAAGCAGGAGGGTGCAGATGTCGAAAGGAGTGTAACTACCGCTTACTTCGACGTAGTTACTCTAACTGGGGTTTTTACTGATGGCAATGTATCTCAATTTGTGTCACGGCTGTCGAACGACTACTCTCTAACAGACCAACGGTCGACAAACCTCGGCTAACTTGACTCTTCTAAGTTGATGTCTCACCCAACCAGGAAGGTGCAGATGTCAAAAGGAGTGTAACTACGGCGTACTTTGACGTAGTTACTCTAACTAGGGTTTTATTTTACCGATTGCGATGTATCTTGATTTAAATGTAGCTATCTCTGTCTATCTTTCACTACTGACAACAATCAAGGATCACTGAAGAACTTGAGCGATCTTCTCATCAAATATTATCTATTCCTCCTAGATGTTCACCCAGCCATCTTGCGCTTTGAGGTACATCCACGCACTTTGTCCAACTTCCCCGAGTCCTCGGCCATCCTCCTCCTCCTCCGACTAACTCCGCCTAACATCGCCACACTTCTGCTTCCATTGTCCCTACTTAGCCTAACTCCGTCTAACTTCGCCGTACTTCTGCTCCCTTTGTTCCAACTTAGCCTAACACCGTCTAACTTCATCGTACTTCTGCTCCCTTTGTCCCTACTCAGCCTAACTCCGTCTAACTTTGCCGTACTTTGTTGTCCTTATGCTCCAGGCCCCCGTATACCTTGTTCTCCCATTGTACTTCGCCGTAGTTGGTCTCAGATGTCCTGAGTTACGTGTAGAGTAAAGAGGTTAAGACGTGATAGGGGTTTTGATGGTCAAAGGAGGGTCATTGTTGGTGGAATAATCGAGGTGTCACGACGTAGTTCGTGACAGTTTAAATGTAGCTATCTCTATCAATCTTTCACTACTGACAGCAATCAAGGATCACTAAAGAACTTGAGCGATCTTCTCAGCTAATATTATCTATTCCTCCTAGATGTTCACCCAGCCATCTCGCGCTTAGACATACTTCAACTCACTTCATCCAACTTCCCCGAGCCCCCGGCCGTCCTCTCCTCCCTTTGACTAGCTCAGCCTAACATTGCCGCACTTCTGCTTCCATTGTCCCTACGCAGCCTAACTCCATCTAACTTCGCCGTACTTCTGCTCCCTTTGTTCCAACTTAGCCTAACTCCGTCTAACTTCATCGTACTTCTGCTCCCTTTGTCCCTACTCAGCCTAACTCCGTCTAACTTTGCTGTACTTTGTTGTCCTTATGCTCCAGGCCCCCGTATACCTTATTCTCCCATTGTACTTTGCCGTAGTTGGTCTCAGATGTCCTGAGTTACGTGTAGAGTAAAGAGGTTAAGACGTGATAGGGGTTTTGATGGTCAAAGGAGGGTCATTGCTGTTGGAATAACTGTTGATAAGTAATGCCACGTAACTACGACTCGAAATTGTTTATAGATACGATACCATCCGTAGTCTTCGATGTGATTCTTACTATCATCGTAATCGTACTCGTCGTACACATTCGAACAATAATTGAGGTGTCACGACGTAGTTTGTGACAGTGTCCCAAAAAGGGGTTTTAAGCTGTTCCACTCCAGAGATGAACTTCTCTGGCTGTGTCCCTAACAATGTCACTATGTGCTTTGTGAAACTGGTCTTGGTCCCAAAATAGTGCTCATCATCATCATGCATATCACATCATTGATTCCTATTGGAGCCCTCATTGGCCCCTCACTCATCTGGATACCTATTCTTCCTGGGGTTCAGGAGCAATCAGGAATTCAGCTTCCTCCAGTAAATTCCAATTATCCTTCACTGGAATTCTCAAGTCCATTAATCTGATGGGCCGACCTGATCCCTGTTCAGCCACCCCTCTGTCAGCAGAGTTGTGTGTGTAGTTGCTGTCTTCCCTTTCACTTACCTCCTTGGTAAAGGTATGATGACTGATGGGCAAAAACTCAACAGAAGAGACCATACTTGACATGCCTTGCAGGTGTGCTTCTATATCCTTTGACAACTGAATGGTGAGCAGATGGCTCACCGCCTCATCAACGACCTCCCACGCCTCACGAGCCTCCTCAGTCTCGGGCCGCTCAGTGCAGAAAGTCTGCCTGAACACTGGGTGTGCTCCTTGAAGCCACTCATCAAGCCTATTCAAAGTTGAATCCGTGCTCAACATGGCCTGATCACTCTCTAGGGTCTCAATGAAAGCCGTGATCAGTGATGTTGCGGCATCACGCATGCCATTTCCGGGCTTACCGACGCACCACGAGATCTCAATGGAGCCCTTATTCCACGGTCCTTTATAGAAGACTGATACACACAAGGACAAGACATCTCCCAGTTGTGTAAAGTTATCAAGAGATTGGCCGTCATGTTCCTCCACGCTCATCCTTGCAGGGGTTGTTGTGTCCATCTCTTAGTGACTATCAAGGGTATGAAAGAAGATGTGTCTAAATATCTTATGATGGTTGAGGATTATTCAAGTCTAAGTGAAACTGATCATGCCACTGTGCATAACCTCACGTATATATATAAAGATTACTGCTCCGCCCCCCCCCCCCCCCCTCAACCGCCCACTCCTCCTGCCTTCGAGCCCTCAGCCTGGACAAACCCGGACTTCCACCTCGCTCGTCATACTGGTCTGGACTCCTTGTATGACGTCATGCGATGCGATGACCGGTTCTAGACCCTTACCTCTGACTTGTCTCTAATCTTCGAACTCTCACCCAAGCCTTTCCCCCACCCGGCACTTGAAAGAGCGCAGGAATTTCCTTCGCGCCACTTTGGCAGCTCACTGGGACCGCGATCGACAGACGTCCCCCCACCTTAAAGATGAACTGATACATGTATGTTTCTCACTAGTACGTTACTCCACAGGTGGGACGTCGTGCAGATATTGTCAGGATCACAGGTATCTATAGACGGGTTCCTTAGAGCCGTACGCAGAAGTCATACCCCACCCTACCCGTTCCCATCTCAACTTCACTAATGCCGCTACGGTGTCCTCCGTTCTCCTTTCATACCTAATCACTATGTCTTCTTCGTCTTGCAATACTTTTCCTTCATCTCCGTGTCCCTCATCTATCTCCATCTACCTTTGGCTTTTCACCTCATATTGTCTCTCATCTTTACTCCGTAGATTTTGGTATCACTCCGCCCTTTGAGTATATAGAAACAGCTCTTTTTCATAGATGTCCAGTCAAATGTATTTTCTCGTCACTTAGCAAATCTTTTGCCACTTGATCTCATCGACTTATAGTCTCTTCAATCCACTACATCACTAGACTATAAACTACATCACTAGGTCTGTTCCCTGCAAGGCCCTATGGCCATAGCTCATAGATGCAGACTAATTCCAACGTCTGGTCCTGACGGAAAACCTCAGGGACGGTGTAAGCGGATGCCTCTTCTCTTGCGTCATTTTTGCCACATTCATAGTTGAAGATTCATGATGAAATTGCCTTCCAACGTGAAAGGAGGGAGAGGGAGAGGGAGGGGGGAGGGCCATGGCCTGTAGATTGGCCTGTGAGGATTTTGTCTGCCTTGAATGGAAGAAAGATCACAAAGGATTAGCATAGCCTGTAGATCAAAGATCATTGGTGGAGAGTGAAGGGAGGAGGAGGGGAAGGCAGGGGATACAATACTGGTCTATGTTCAATAGGGAGAGGGTGTTAAGTGGTTAAACTCGAAATACACAACCAGTACACATATTCTAAGGTTTGCGTCAATCATCTAACACGTCCGGATTCATCTGTTAGGCATTTTGGTGACTACATATCCACCGTAGTAAGTATGCTACTATCTGGTATAATTACCTCCACCAGGGAGAATATCTATCAGTAGCCAGCATGAGCAGGTGGATAATCATGAATGGTGTACATGTCCGAGTGAGCATCTCTCTTCAGTCGTTTGCGTTAAAGATAGGTGGGATGTATCAATCATCTACTTGATATTATCAGTCTTATCCTTCTACGTTTACAACTCCCTGGAAAAAATTTGAGCTGGGTGATGCATCAAAATACCCTTTCCCGTGATAGTCATGTGTTATGCCAATTTTAGTCGCACGGAACTGCCACACCTTTCGACGTTCCCTATGTACCGTACGTAAACCCCTTATGTACTGTCGGTAAACCTGACGTACAACCGGGGTGAGTAACCAATCTTCCTACGCGTCGCACATCTTTTACATGTATCTTATTCCCTCCGTTCTTTCTTTTATTCTTCTCGTTGAATCAGCTCCCGCGGGCGATTCTCTCTTCATGTCTCCTGGAATTCCGGCGATAAAGTTGAGGGCGATGTTCACCATTTTTGCGATGATAGGGATATTTGGGCTGAATGGGTTGGTGAAGGCACAAGAGATGGAAAATGGGTGTTTGAGGTTGATTGGAAGTGTGGCCTGTCCTGGATGTAAGCGTCTCTTACACGTTCACGTTTCTCACTTTACCCTTCGATATTTCAGTTCAGTCGATATCATACCTCGCTGAGGATACGGCATGTGAACTAATACTTGGTACCGAAACAACTTTCATTGAGGAAATAAGTCGTGGAGTATGAAGAGGATCAAGTCGGACGGGAGGTGTCAATTTCTAACAATTAGTTTCATTCGCTTATCTCTCACCTGAAAACCTTTCTAACGCATTCCCATTCTTCTCCAAAGTAAACTCCGTTTCAACCTTCGACGCCGCCGCGTTGGCATATTTGTCAGATCCGTATCAATATACAAAGACGAAGTTCGTAGAACAATTAGGGTGTGGGAATGTTTTGACATCGACAGGGGTCATAAGATGGGAGAGAACTGTTTTATGTAGTCAGTGGGTCAATGAGAAATGGAGTGGGGAGTGTAGGGAGTTGTATGGTGAGTTTTTGATTCGTCAGATCGTGTTAGACGACTTGTTCCTCTCTCCTTTTCCCCCTCAATGCGTTTTCACCAGATCATCACACATTCACTTTCGTCAAGTTTGACAACTCGACGATCACCATGCCAGGTGAAACGGGGGTAATAGTCATACAAGGCGACACTCAGAAACTCTCATCCACTGAGTCACCGGATCGTAATAGTAGGAGGAATCTAACAAATATCAAAGAGTGAAACAGATGTTTACTCACCTCAGACAATTCTTCCAATGCAACTTCCCCAAAGATGGTATGTCAAGAAACATGTCTTCAATTCTCATCCTCCGAATCCTCATTAATCACCGATACTTCTTTCTGTCCTGGACTAGACCAGACCAACGGGACACGTCAAGCCACCCTGATGAAAGATCACGATGATTGTACCGATTGGACCACATTGACGACGAACGATACTTCCACTTGTGTCCAAGGAAATGATAACGAAGGTAATTGTGGATTTGGGAGTAGTACGAAACAATTATGCGATTTCTGTAGCGGCGATAAACCGGATGATTGCTGTTATTCTTGTAAGCCATGTTCTCTCCTCTTAATAGCTCTTGGCTGTGGATGATTTCGAATGACTGAAGTGGCCGGAGAGTATTTTGTGTTTAGTCGCTTACTTTAGCCAATACGGATATCTCAGTTTGCGGGTTTTCACTGGTTCCATCATCCTCTTCGGCGAGTCCCAGTGCCGCTACAACGGTTCAAAATATGAAGAAACATGGTCTTACCGGTGGTCAGAAAGCAGGTATAATAGTCGGTTCGATATTCACATTTATCTTCCTTCTCATCTCGTACTATATCATGAGCGTCTGGATCAGACTTCGAAAGGAGAGAAGATCTCAGCTGGAAGAAGCAGAGAATAAGCTGAGGAGAGAGAGATCTGGTCTGGAGTCTGGTTTAGAAGGTTTCAGCCCACGATCGGGTAATATGGATGGGGAGAGAAAGTTGGGATCACCGTTTAGGGAGAGTCCCAGGGTTGTACGTGTTTTCAATGAGAGTAAAGAGGAAAAGGAAAGGTCTGGAAGAAGGGAAATTAAGAATGCGGATGGGGTGGTTAGTTTGAAGGAGAAGGAGAACGGCGAACAACTTAAAGAGGACCACAATGTGGATGTGGTGAAGGGTAATGAGAGGAAGGCGAAAGAGGGCTTTGTTGGTGGTATGGTGGGTCAGGAGAGTAGAGTTGTCGGGGCGACATACGCAGAAGAATTGGGCAAAGGTCTAAGGAAAGGGGTGGTGTTACCTCGTGTCAAGGATGAAAATCAGATGGGTGAAAAGTGGATCGAGACAGGGTCAGAAGTCTGTGTTATTTGGCCGTGAGTTTTCTGCTCATCATGTCAATTCTATTCTATGATTTCTCTTCCTCGACCACAGGTGATGCTCGAGCACATGAGGTTTAGAAGGGAGAGGAATTGAAATCCCATCACAGAGTAATAACTGAGAGTAGATACGAAGCTGTCTTACCTGATGAATTGGATCTTCGATCAGGTATGAGAATACACGTTCTAAGATTATACGATGATGCCTGGGGAACGGGTAAAGTGGTCTTTGGTGGAGATTCGAGGATTGGTGTATTTCCTATAGTAAGTTTTTACCGATGCATCCTCTCTCTTTCTTTCTCTCTCTTGGTTTATCCAGACGACTCGTGGTTTTCTGTTATGTGTCGTGTGATGTTTGAAGTGCTGATCGGAAAGGTATGTGTATCTGAAGGTTCGTCCTTCATTTCAGGAGGTGATAGTTCCGCGTCACATTGAATCCTCTGATTCTACCGTCAGCATCATCAGTAGGTGTGGGACACGATGACATCGGTGAGTCAAGACGTGGGCAGAGGTAGAATGTATAGTGTGTAGCTTCCAGTAGAAGTGATAATAGAGAGTTGTTTGTCGATGATGCCGTCTGATGCAAGTGAGTTGAAACTAAACAGAATATATCGGATTGGTCATAACTTTCGTCACACATGTTGGACAAGCTATGACCGTTATCAGTACTACTTGATGAGTAGTCAGCTTAATACCACCATGTTCTGATGAATGAATCGCGAGCATTGTATAGGCCTCCGCAGCCAAAACGGCGAGGAAAGAGGAAAGTGAGGGTGCCACATTCCTTCAACACTAGAAATCCCGACAAATCCCGCCCAGTCAAAACCTCCTCTCAGGTCCTCAAACCACTCATATAACTATTGTTCCTCGCTATACATTCAACCCAAGAAGCAAGAATCGCTATATTGTACAAAAGCTAAACCGACGACATCGACCCATTCTATAAGCCCGGAGAGACAAGTGGAAAGAAGGGATACAAAATGACCTCGATGGCTGCTGCTTTGGCGGCTTCTCTACCCACTCCCGTCATTAGGAGTCAGACCCCTAAAGCTCAAGGAACAAAAGTCCCTCAGAGGTTAGAAGCTGTCGTGGATCCTGATGCCAAACTCGGAGTGGAGACTGTAAGGATGGGAGGACTGGTATGTTCTCTTTCATATCTCCCCTTCTCTCTCATCCCTCTTCCTTTTCTCCTCCCTTGTACAAACTTCGATCTTGGGGTAATTTATTTTTGATTTATTATCTGCTAATCAATAAGGTTTTATTGAAGATTATAAAGCATTCCACCGACTCTCTCCCTCCACCACCTCAGAATCTCCAGCAAGATCGTAATCCCCCACCTACTACAGCTCTCAGTGCGCACGTGGATGCTCAAGGAGTTCTGTTGGGATTAGACTTGGAGGGAGTGATGGAAGTTGAAGATTGTTTCGCCCTTCCTGGCGGAGATACGAATTTTACATGTGGGTTCCTTTTTTTGTCCCGCCTCTATTCCTCAAACTACTCTTCGGCCTCCACGCTCGCCTTTCGGGTCGTTTTCCGACTTGTCTTTTTGCCCCTTTCGCCCACCTTTCTTTCCTCTTTCGGAACCTAACCTGTCTGCAATTGATTTCTCCCCCGGCTCCCACCAAGTTTCGATTACCACTGCGGTTTTAAGCATTTCCATCCTCGTGGATGATATCTACGTCGTGCGACTGTTCTGTCAGGTTCCAGAAGCTAACATCTCAGCCTCGTCATATTCCGCCAGACTGATAGACTATCTTCGCGCTTCTTCCTCCTCTGACCAGCTACGCGGCGCCTCTTTACCAGACTCCCCCGTCGGTATCTACCTCTCCACCCATAACGGAGGGTTTGTCACTCGATCAACTATAGAACTGCTCCTCGCTGTTGAGAGGGTGAGCGGACGAGGAAAAGCTGTTCTGGTGATACACGATGCCAGCAGGGCTAACGGGAGGGATTTAAATTTGAAAGCTTGGAGATTGAGCGATGGGGCTAAAGCAGCGGCTCAAAAAGGGAAATGGGATGGGCAGTCGTGAGTTTCATCACTTCATTTTCTTCACACGTACACCTACCTACATAGCTCTTTCCACTCCTCCATGATCTGTAAAGCATACTTTCTTCCCGCCTCTGTCAGCCCCACCTTTCTATCTTTACAAGAATCCCCACAAACGTCGAGATTCACTGTGTATATAGTCGTGCGCTTATAATCAGACTTGTCGAGAACAAACTTACCGCTTCCACACTCCTCGAACCTCTACCCCTTACCATCTCCTCCCCTCAGCTCATCTCGGCCTTTTTGACGTCTCTCTCCACCCCTGCACCTTCTCCCAATCTCAACCACTCCCTCCGTTCGCCAGCTGTGACCCTTTCCAAGAACTTTGAAACTCTGTCCAACCCTCTTCCTCGTTCTCTCCCAGCCTATCTATCCGACACTCTCGACTCTCTCACTTTACACGCTCACGAAGCCAACAATGTAGCCTTTTTGGTCCGACAACAGGCCCGTGATCGCGCCAAGCTCGAAGCAACGGCCAAGGACAGGGAAGAGGAAAATCTACGTCGGAAGAAGGCGGGTTTGGGAGAGTTACCACCTGTCAATGTAACCTCGGGTTCTGCCGCTGGTAAAGATCCGAATAGACTCGAGTTATTATGTTTGCAGGGTATGGTGGATGGTCTGGCCGGGAGTATGGCGGGGGAAGCGGCGAGGGGTTTGGTCAGGTGTTACCTCTGATGTGGTTGATCACCGCCTCGACATGTTATTCATTCACGTGATGCATAATCTGCCTCGTCTCTAATACCCTCATGATGGGCTTGGCAAGAAGGCTCCACCGCCTGTGGCCGACATAGCGGACTCACTTGTCAACAATCACCGTCTTCATGGTCACCCAAAAACTCACACCCCAAGGTAGCCACAAGTCCTGATGCTTGAGGCCCTTCTTGACTGGGCCACTTCACCTCTCGGAAATAGAACTCGGGATACTTCTTCCTACAACCGGACACCAGGCGCCCTGCTAATGACACACTACTCAGCCAATCCTGCTGTATTGAAGACTCTTTACAATGAGCAGAAAGATTGTGCAGAGACAACATATCCAGATGTCGAAATGTCTCATCAGAGACTGCCTTGGTCGTTGTGAACAACAGAGTGGTAGGACTGTTCACGTCACTCAACATCATACTGTCTTTTATCATCATGTCCAGTCTCATCCTAGTGAATTCAGACAATCCCCAAGGTGTTTCAGGGAGACGAACACGATGATGCAACTTGTGTCTAACTTCCAGAACATTGTCCACCAGTTCAAACTTGGTTTCACTATACACGCTTACGGTGATAATACCATACTCGGACGGAGGCCCATAATTGATTTGACGAGGCGTCCGAAGTCTGACGGTCAACTTTTCCAATGGACACTTTCTTGGGGGACAGGTATGAACAGGTTCGGTGGAAAAGAGAATGTTGTGAGTATAAGAAATACGAGCCTGGAAACCCCAAATGTTTGATGGGACCGAGAGAGAGTACATGCTTGTTTGTTTGGTTCGTTCGAAGGGCGTTTCAACTGTGTAATCAATGAATGATCCGTATGGAGAGCAATAGGAATGTAAGACAAACAATCACAGGAATGATAGTCATTTATGGGAGTTTGATGAGAAGGAGAGAGGTAGGAAAGAAGGCTTGAGGAGGTGCGGAATTTGAAAGCGTTCCGTGTGATTTTCCCGATTGAGACGATTCATTTTTTTACGTCTGACCACGGAGGTTGGCAGCACTGCAGTGTTGTAACTTTACGGCGTAAGTATAAATGGTCGTAGAAAAAGTGATGGACTCCGTGTTCATGTTGTGAATGGTAAGAACCGCCTTGTGAGAACCTACCAGCTGGGACAAGTTTTGGAGAGTTCAGGATGTTTCAACCCCTTAAGGCAATAACCGGTGAATGGGACGATCATATATACAACAGGTCCTCTGGAGCAGGTGTATTCACACCTTAAAATATGTCATAAACGTAAAAGGGATTCATGCCCGTAGAAAAAAGTCCCAACACTGGGCAGCAGCATTTGGAGCAGGTGGGTTGTGTGAGTTGTTCAATCTCATAAGCTCACTAGAAGAAGGTAGAGAGTAGTGTCAGGATCACGGATATCTAAGACAGGTTTGTCAGGACAAGACACTGGAAATGATCTGTATCAATGAGCTATGGCTCTAGGGCCTGGTAGGAAACAGAACTAGTGATATGGCGGATAGTCTAAGGATGTAGAAGATCAAAGAGACTCTTTAGCCAATGAGATCGAGTGACAAAGGAATTATTAAGTGATGAGAAAATACATTGGACAAGACATCTGTTAGGTGCCGCACGGAAGACATGCCACTTCGAAGCTGCACGGGTCCTGAGACCCCTTTACGTGCCAGACTGAAGATCTGTGCCACCTCAAAGTTGCACAGGATGAAGTCATGACTCTTCAAAGAGTCACATCCTCTGGGTCATGCAGCTCAGAAGATTTGATGTTTCTCAAACATCACTGGCCAAGACTGACTGTAGATGAAGCATATGATACTTGAAAGTGATTATAAGGCAACTACCACCAGAAATCTAGCATATACATGCATGGGAGGAAGAAAATTGATGCAAGAATCTTCATCTTGTGTAGTGAAAAGCGCAAGCGTCTGATAAGTTACTCCCTCCTCTTTTTGACAGAGAACAGATGAGGACCATCTTATTACAGCTGTGAAGTTGTTTTGGACCTGCAAGTGTTTCCCATAAAATGGTGATCCTTCTTCTGTGGGTCACATCTTCAGTCTGGCACGGTCATACCCATGACACTTCAGTTGTAATCGAACGATATAGTAATGCATAAAGACATGAACGAACAAACAAAGAGAAAAGTTTCAACACCCATAGCTTATTCGATCCCTCCAACACTCCCACCAAGCTATTGCTGTTGAACATAAACTACACAGGTACTCTCACTGCTAGCAGGAAATAGCGATAGACCGAGCATTTCTGTCACGGCCGTCGAACAACTATTTCTTAATAGACCGACGGTCGACGAACCTCGGCTAACTTCACGCTCTGAGTCGATGTCTCACCCAACCAGGAGGGCGCAGACGTCGAAAGGGGTGTAACTACGGCGTACTTCGGCGTAGTTACTCTAACTAGGGTTTTGTTCTACTGATGGCGATGTATCTTGATTTATAGCTATCTCTATATGTCTTTCACTACTGACAACAATCAAGGATCGCTGAAGAACTTCAGCGATCTTCTCAGCTAATATTATCTACTCCTCCTAGACGTTCATCCAACCCTCTCGCGCTTTGACGTACTTCAACGCACTTCGTCCAACTTCCCCGAGCCCTCGGCCATCCTCTTCCTCCTTCGACTAACTCCGCCTAACATCGCCGCACTTCTGCTCCCATTGTCCCTACTTAGCCTAACTCCGTCTAACTTCGCCGTACTTCTGCTCCCATTGTCCCTACTTAGACTAACTCCGCCTAACATCGCCGCACTTCTGCTCCCATTGTCCCTACCTAGCCTAACTCCGTCTAACTTCGCCGTACTTCTGCTCCCACTGTCCCTACCTAGCCTAACTCCGTCTAACTTCGCCGTACTTGGTCTCAGAAGTCCTGAGTTACGTGTAGAGTAAAGAGGTTAAGGCGTGATGGGGGTTTTGATGGTCAAAGGAGGGTCATTGTTGGTGGAATAATCGAGGTGTCACGACGTAGTTCGTGACAATTTCTGTGAACCGAGCGAACAAAGTTGGTGATAGGGGTTTTGTGAGTCCATCAGCAAGCATTGCAGCAGTTTTGACATACTCAATGTTGATGATCGATCGTTCAACTAGTTCACGAAGATAATGGAACCGAATATCGATCTGTTTTGCTCGAGAGTGACCAATTGGATTTCGAGCGATGGCGATTGATGCTTGATTATCCCCATAGAGCTTGATTGCTTTCTTGGGAGCAAACCCAAGTTCTGACAAGAGTGAACGAAGCCACATTGCTTCTCGAGCGGCTTGAGCGAGTCCCACATATTCAGCATCTCCTGTTGCAAGAGCAACAGAAGGCTGAAGCTTTGACTGCCAACTAATGGTCCCACCCCAGAGTTGAAACACATAACCGCTTGTACATCGACGTCGCTCGGTATCGCTCGTGGCAAAATCTGCATCACTGAATCCATCCAGTTCGCTCCCACCGTTCACATATCGTATACCGAACGTTCGGGTTTGTTTGAGATATTGTAAGACAGAGAGGACTGCTTCCCAATGAGTGATAGAGGGGTCGTTTGAAAACTGACCAAGCAAACCAACCACATATGCAAGGTCTGGTCGAGTTCCAAGCATGGCATACATGAGCGAACCAATAGCTGTCAAATGTCGAGCTCAATTGGTTGTGGGTTCTTCAGGTAGGCGAGCTTTTCTTTCATAGGTGTATCTTTCAGTTTGCAATTTTGCATGTCAAATTGTGTGAGGATGGTGTCAATGTATTGAGTTTGACATAGATCGAGCTGGCGCTTCGATCGATTGCGCTTGACTTGTAAACCGAGGATAAAGTGCAGCTGACCAAGATCTTTCATGTCATATCGCTTTGACATTTCATTCTTGAAGAACTCAAGCGTGCTCGAGCGAGAGGCAGCAATGGTGAGGTCATCCACATACACTCCAACAATAAGCAGATCATCAAACTGACCTCGAACATAAATCGAGTGATCGGACATTGTTCGAATGAACCCGAGTGAGCGAAGTGTTGAGTCGAGTTCGCGGTACCAAGCTCGAGGTGCCTGCTTGAGTCCATAGAGGGATTTGTCTAGCTTCCAGACCATCTTTTCATCTTGAGTGAACCCTTCCGGCTGTTCCATGTAGACTACTTCATCGAGCGAACCATAGAGGAAGGCAGTTTTTACATCCATCTGATGAAGTTCGAGATTGTGCATAGCAGCAAGTGCAAGGATTGTTCGAATGGATTGAAACTTGGCAACATGAGCAAATGTCTCATCATAATCAATACCTGGTTGTTGGGTAAAACCTCGAGCGACTAGTCGAGCCTTGAACCGATCGATGTCACCATTGGCAAATCTCTTGACCATAAAAACCCATTTGCAAGTTACAATCCTGCCTTGAGCGGCCGAGCGAGGTACTAGGTGATAGACACCTGCCTTTTCTAGAGACTTCATCTCGTCCTGAGCTGCTATTTTCCACTGCATTGAATCACTCGATTGAATTGCTTCATCCCATGAGTGAGGTTCATCGATTGAGATGTGAGCTGCAAAGGCAGCGAGCGAGTATGCTGAGAGTTGATTAGGCCATTGAGGGAGTCGAGCGTCCGAAGGGGAGAAGTCTTGTTCACCTGGTCGACCAAGGAAATCGTTCAGCTCGATTTCATACTCTGGGTACTGGGAGATAAGACCAAACGTTCGACCTGAGCGAGTTTGCATTCGTTCTGGTTGTTGTTCCTCCAGCTCAGGTGAGGGAGCATGCTCTTGAGCAGAGGGAGGATCTTCCTCATATTGCCATCCTGGATATCAAACGAGTTCGTTCAATTGATTCTGATTGTCCTGCTCTACTTCATTTTGCCCTTCATTTCTGTAGTGGATCTGACCATCCCCTACATACTGATCAGTACCAAGCTACTAGATTCTCTTCCAGATACCCCTACCCCTGTCTCTTGTCTGCCTTTCATAGTGTATACAAGTCTTATACGCACCTGCCTCAGTTACGCCTTCTTTACCTATAGTCTCTCCTGTCTCCTAGTATATAGTATTCACGCATAACGTGTCAAAGACGCAGATTCTGTCACATCTTTCCTACG